TTTACATTTATTGTCCACTCGATGGCACAATAGAGCAAATGAAGCACAATAATGAAGCTTCGGCCCGTGAGTGAAGCAATTGGCTGGAAAGCTTCAATGCTTCATCTCACCATCACTACTGATCCTGGGATTACTGCAGCATCTTTCACAGCGCTGGAATGTCACGTGCAGTCCAACGGTGAGAAAAGTGATGGATGACATGTACATCCACAGTTTTCAGGGGATCTTTTCCATGGCTATGTAGACATAAGCATCCTTATGAATCTTAGCAGAAACTACATGTTATCCTGGATGCATGCCACATGCTTAAACTTCTTTGTAATGCCTTTGCATCTTTGGTGGAATTTGAGACAGAAGATAGGGCAGAGATGAAATGGAAGTACTTTGAAGCTCTCGATAAACTCCAAGAGAAAGAAGGTCTGACTTGGCAAGAGACTGAAGATAGCTTACATGCAATCAAGGTACGAAAAAAATAAAAGTTCATCTGGCAGCAAAGCTTTTCAGCAGTAGTGAAACAGATGTCACTGCTACACTGAGAGCTGTGAACAAAGTTTGAAGTTGGAAGAGTTTAAAGACTGCACTGCAATTGTTCGGTTTGTACACCCTGTAGGTGCAGGAGTATTTAGCTGTTAATCACACCTAGTAGGTGCAGCTAGGTGTGATTAACAGCTGCAATCCCTTTGGGAAAGGTTTCAAAGGTCCCATCAAACCAACAACTAGGGATTGAGCAGAGACAATCTTGAAGCAGACAGAAACTTAACTATGAGGGTTGAAGGTCCAGCAGTCCAACAAGATGGTGCTACTTCACACCACAGAAAAAAGAAAGAAAGAAAGAAAGAAAGAAAGAAAGAAAGAAAGAAAGAAAGAAAGAAAGAAAGAAAGACCACCTTGAGTGGCTTCATTCTAATCTTCCTGTGGATGTGGAATCACATCAACCATTGTCACTCAGGTTCTTGCAGACTGTGCAGAGAAAGATCTTTTTCCACATCTGCACAGCCATATATTCAATGAATGTGTTGAGGTGAACCATATTCATGTTTGGTAAAAATGGCTGCCTCCTGGTTTTGCAAAGTCAAACTCAGACATTTTGCAAGGAGAAAAACTGACATGTCAAAAACAGACTAGATGATCCACAGAAAACAAACCAAATTTATCCACTTTTAAGGTGGAGTAAGTCAAATCTGTATGAATCTGTACAGAGAAGACTTTTTGAAGCGCAAGCCATATTTCTGCAGGGTCTAATACTTCTTGACGTCACTGGCAGGAAGCCCCTATTTTTTAACTTAAAAAAAACCCCTGAGTTGATTCAGACAGACGGATGTGGAAAGTTCTGAGACCCCTGGATCTTCAGTCCATAATTTTCTAACACTTGATATTAAGGATCAGAATTAATTATAGTTAATCTGATAAAAGGATTAGGATCCTTAGCAAACTTTTTGTTAATGTCTACTTCTAGCTTTTCATTACATGTGCAAAGATCTGAAGTTGTTTGCTCATTTTAACTTTGAAATCGTTTAGAGATTGAAAACTTAATTGATAAAAGTTTTTCCCTATATGTAGTTGAAAACTTTCCAGTTTGTACATCATGAAAATTTCCACATGCCATTAGCTCTTGACAGCTTTCAAAGCTCCATCATAAAGTACACCAGACCCAAACCTTCGTGGTTCAAAGCTGAGATTGTCATGATGATGAAAAATAAATCTTGTATTTTTGTTTTTTTCCAATAATTCAGTATAAAAGTAAAACCACATTCAGTATGGTGCCTGAAATGTCGTGCATTAATGACAGTGAGACCGGCATTTTTAAAAGGCACATGATCTTTATGTGAATGGCTTTTTTACTTGGCAATACCTGTAACTTTTGTATTTTTCAGAAGTATTCACATCAAAGCTGCACATTCATGTCCCCGCATCTAACTGTTGCAAGTGTTGCCATCAAGCTCTGTTTCTCTGTGTGTCTGATAGAAACTTTAATAGCTACCAGCATGAGACACTGATCAGCCAAGCACATCACCATACTGAGATCCAATATGTCACCACCATGCAGAGAGCGTGTGTGTGTGTGTGTGTGTGTGTGTGTGTGTGTGTGTGTGTGAGAGAGAGAGAGAGAGAGAGAATGGAAAGCGAGCTGCGTGTGTGTCTCGTTAGAGCTGGGTGTAACAGTGGAAGTGATGACGGTAATGTGGGAATGACAAAGGAGCTCTGACTGTGAGCTATATGAAGATGTGTGAGATCAGCAAGAGTTCTGCAACACGTCACATCCCCCAGTGTGTGTGAGTGTGTGTATACCCACATTTTCACACTCAGGTACCATGCACCCTGTCTCAAGGTTCAAACTTGTGATCTCCTTGTCAACAGTTAATTTAAGAAATATGTCACAATCTTGAAATGGCTTGTAATATTACTACATGTCACATTTAATTCATACATTTTTAAAACCGAAAATATAAAGAAAAATGGTCATTTTTTCTGATAACTACCCAAAATAGCATGCTCTTAATTTTTGATGAAAAGGTTTTGCTCATTAACATCTTAGGCTAGATATCTAAGACCTTATTTGTTACATAACAGTTTTCTTTCAGGTCCCATTTTAAATCACATGGTCCCTCGTCAGAAAACTGATTTTAATGCTCCTCAAAGTATTAGCAGTCAATGTTTTGTTTTGCCAAGTAGTGGACAAAGTACTTCACTTCATTACTTGAGTCAAAGTAAAGATCATCCTGGTCAGCTATTACGCCAACACAAGTGAAAGTTGCTCGGTCAAATTATTACTTTCAGATACTTGAATATTCATAGTAGTACTTAAAAAAAATCTCAAAATATTGTATTTTTACAGTGCAAGTGTGCAGTAACGAATACACGGGTGTACATTATTAATCTGGAATAAAACTAATGTTTAGCTCCATACTTCCACATGCTTTCTCAGGCCACTTTTAGATGGAAACGGTCCCTAAAGGAAATGGAAAAATTTAGTTTCGTTTAGGGGGTCTGTTTAGACGGCAACTGCGTTTTCAGGAGATGAAAACGTAACAAAGTGAAAACCCCCTCCAGAGTGGAAATGTTGTAAACGCTCTGCTAGTCCCGCTTTCGTCTAAAGTACAAAAATGTTGAAAACGGTCAAACCTGTGACGCCATGGCTCACGTCGGCTCACGTTTATGACATCATTGCCATGTGCAGCTTCCTTGAAAATAAAAACACCATCATGCTAGACATTCGAGTCGTGCTGTCGTTGTTACTGAACGGGCAGGAGCTCAATTTTGACCTGTACAGAATCCTCACAGATCATACTGCTCAGCAGAGGAGGCGTCTGAATTATTTACATCAAATAATTAATGTAGAATGGAAGTTGTTCTACGTATGCGTTGTTGGTCTATATGGGAGTGCGGTCAAACCGACACGTGCCACCTAGCGACCTGGCATGCACATTACAGTGTTTTCAACCACATTGCGTTTTTATGTAAACACAGCATAAAAACTGAAAACGAAACGGCACTTTTCCGTTTTCTATGGAGACCGTTTCCTTCTAAAAGTGGCCTTACGTTGGACAGTGACTTTTTGTACATTGTGATAGAGTTTTTGTGTAGCAAACACAGCCAATATTTAAAGCAATAAGAATTATTGTTTTATTGGGGTCCACCTCTGCTGTTGCCATAATCATCAAGAGAGGAAAGAAGTTATGAGCTACCTCATGTTAGTGATGATCTTCATCTCTACCTTAATTGCTGGAAACAGCACAAATGTTCAGATGCATATCATCATCTGCTGAGAAACCTGAGTACAATATTGGTCTTGCAAATGAAGAGAAGGAAAAGTGATAAGGTTCCTCACAAAGTACTGCTCAGATAAAGAACAGATACTCAAAAAATGTTCTGAAATACAGTAAATTTACTATGCTACCATCCACCTCTGGTTTTGCCCGATAATTTACAGCATGTTAGCACACTAAACCAGGCTGAATGTTCATAATAAAGATAATGTTCAAGTACAGTTACGGGGATAAAAATAAACATTTTTGTGCAACTATTGTACGTTACCCTTTGTTTGGTGTCTGGAGGAAATTTTTGTTGTCAATTGGTGCTATTTAAATAAAGACTAAAAAAACTGACTATTATTTATAATGTATATTTAATGTGTAACTCCTAATACAAGAAACAATCAGTTTTGATATTTGTAAACACGACATCATGCAAATATTTTATGTGCAGTGTTATAATGTTGGGCAAGTGTATGTAAATAAGATATGACAGGAATGTTAATTTTTGTACAAAACTGCATTTCTAATTTATTATTTAAAAAGCCCGGGTCATCGTGTTTGACATCTGTGACAACTTAATCAGATACCAGTTTAATTGTGGATAAACCTCCTGCTGTTATAGATTAAAGGTCTGATTCTTCCTCTCTTATGTAGTGGCCCCATGGAAATACAAAAATATGTTTATATTATACCTCTTGTATGATATAAACATCATATCCTACAGGAGGTGACCGAAGTCCACTGTTTTTCAAATGTGAATTTCATACATTAAACCACTTAAAGTGCTCATATATTTTGGAAATAAGAGAAGTCAAACAGACGACAGTGAACTTCTGCTTAGGAGTCTTTTCTAAGTAATCATATATCCACTGCTCACGAAGTGAAAAAGTACCACAACTCCAGCACTGACTAGACTTTTACACTAGAGGGTGCTGGTGGCCTTTATTAAAGGATGTTAGATTTCTGTCTGGGTAACTTTTGGGCAGTGCTAGGCATCAACCCTGATACAAGAACATGCTTAAAGATTAATGAAGAAAAGCAAACCTTATATATATCTGTCAGCATTTTGTGTTCTCCTTTCATCTGCACATAATCAGAAGCCTTTTAATTTCAGCATCAAGGCTTCAAACAATAGAAATTATTCTCACCCAATTAGTATTATTCTTCCAGTGCTCTAACCTGGGTATGGAAAAGGATTTATCCACACATTCGTGTTTTATTTAAAGATGACCACAGAATGCATTCTTTTGTTTTTTGAAGTTGATAAACCTTTATTTAAATCAAAGAGCAGATAAAAACATTAAGGCAAGACAAGCAGCGAGCGTTGGGCTGCAAAATGGAATTTAACTATACAAGGCTTGATCCATTAATAAAAAACTAGAAAATTATAAAGCCAGAGAACACAGAACACAATGTGATAGAGAGCATGTATGTGTGATTGGATATGACTGCATCCAGGCTGTTTGATTTGTGCGTGTGTGTGTGCATGCAAAGTGAGATGTTTGATTTTATCTGTCCGTGTGTAACCATGAGTGCCTGCAGGAGACATTTGGAGATATGTAGTTAGTGAAACAATAAAGTGCTGTTAGTATTAATCTGTGGCTGAAATGATTTACAGCCTACAATTAAACTACAGTTCAAGCAGCAAGACTCTACAGATAGAGTTAGAAACAGCTAACTAAAGTGCATGTGTGGAGACAGAAATTCAACTCAAATGCTGGACATGTTTTTTAATCTATGCAATTAAGTGGAAATCTTTGCTTAAAAAAAAAAAAGACAAACTAGTTTCTTTCTTTCTTAAAATCAAACTTGAACTCTTTTTCTGTTTTCATGTTAAATTATGAATGCTGCTTAAATTATATCAACCTTATTTTTCTTATGGATATTTTTAATTCTTGGTTTTGTTGCTTGTGTTATTTTTTTTTATTTGTCCCTGTGTTTAGCATTTATAACTACTGAACAAAGGCAGCAATTAGCATCCAGAAAACATGAAGATGAGATTTCAATATATTTTCTACAAGAAGGTTTGGATTCCATCAGTGCCAAGAGTCAAAAATGTGTTAAATGATAGAATCTGTTTGTGATGGTGTAATTTTTAAGGAAAAGACAGTGTTTCATTTTTTACTACATCGATGATTTAAATGAACTTGTAAGGACTACAGATTGTCTGGCTTTTTTGAACAAACAAACAAAAAAGCAGAATTTCTGATAATGCAAAGTGTGCCCAGAAAGCAGGACTTGGAGGCACGAAGCAGCAAAGTTTTTTCTGCCCCGAGGTTTCCGGTGTGGAGGTGAACAGTAAATGATCAAACTTGTAGAGCTCAATTTATGGCCTTTGGGGCAGCCAAAAGCATCCTCCCAGAAATGAACTGGAGCTGAATAGATTTGTGTCTGCAGGCATGGCACAGGTACAGAGGGGAGAAAAAACATGCATGCCAAGAGGTTCTGCCTCTATCTGTCTGTGCCGCTTTGCTAAACGAAGAAAAGAGGCTCAAGTTCATGTAGAAACATCTTCAACTTCCTACCCAAACTCATGCCAGACTTCCTCCATTTTATTTTGATTTCTATGTTTATGACATACATTGCACTTCAGAAACTGTCTGGCATGTTTTAAAAGATGCTTTTCCTTTTGCCTGCTGAGAGTTGGGTCAGAAGACTGATGCAGTATTATGTTCATGCCAAATGTGAAGCTACAGCCATCAGCCCACACTCTGGGAAGAAAACAAGAGGAGGAAACTCGGCCGGCCTATTTTTGCCATTTTTCTACATCCTGAATGCCCTGGTTTGTGATATGATAGACAGTGAGCTGTGGAGGTGTGGTTGGATTTTATGGAGTCTATGCTAAACTAAGCTCACCAAGCACTTATTTTTCATCCCAATTTGAGACGGGATGGTGTTCATATTTTAACTCAACAGGTGGGTGAGCCTTTTTAAATATTTCTTCTTTTTTTTCTTCATTTATGAGCGCAGCTGTCTGTTTAAATAGAACTCAGACTACTTATCCTACATATCCTTTCATTCTCAGACATCATCATCCAAGTTAAAGATCTGTTTACATTAAGGAAACATGTAAGTCTGGCTGCCTAGCTAGTAAGCATGACAGCACAAAAGATTAAATGCTTTCTTTGCTTCAAATAACTCCAGTCCAAAATTATCTGTTCTCAAATGAGCGAAGCCTCCAAAATAAAATTCCTGCAATGGCTTGAAGGTGATCGAAAGGATTTTGTAATCATTTTTATACTGTGGATATGTCAGTGTAGAAGCTTTTGTACATACACAAGTGTTCTCATAAAGCTAAAAAAAAAAAAATGCATCGGAGCACTCTGAGCACCTCTCTGAACACAAGGATTGATGAGGAATAACAACACATGAAAGCTTTACAAGAAGTCAAACAAGTCACAGAATTTAAATCAATGATCCTAAATAAGCTGAACATGGATGAGATGTTTTAGGTACTTCTGCTTAGACATGTTTGCGCTTGAAGAGTGGCAGCTGTGTGAGAATGCATCTGCAGCCCAGCCGCTGATGGTTGTGTGTGGAGATGATTTCAAACAGGGTTACAAAAGAGGAGAGGTATAACTGTCTAGAGTTGAAGTTTACAGCACACAAGCGTCAGATTTTCTCTACTCGTGGATGAAAACAAGAGAGTTTCAAGATGGTGCTTGGAAAAAAATTCAAACGCTTATACTTCAAAACATTAGGACACCATTAAATCAGAACAGACAACAAGTGAATTTTTGACTTCCAGACTTGTTTGTGTTTGTGTTTGTGTAATTATGTGCATGTGTGCGTAAAGTGTGTGAGTGGTGTAAGAAGCTGCCTAAAACAGGCAGCATGGTGTCACTCCTGGAGAGCCCAACCTCCAGAAACCTCCTACACCGACACACCACAACGCCACCACACGTCATTGGTTAACAGGACTACGAGCTGATTAGCTGGAACCACAGAGAGTTTATGTTTTTGCCTTCAAAGCTTGTTAAGTACAGACTCAAGCATGTACAGAAAACACTCAAACTGTCTTGGATTATTATTATCTTTTCTTTCTTTTTTTGGCAAAAAACAGTTTCTTTGAGTTTTTGCTCTTTAGCAAAATGCAAGAAGCATAAAGACATAGGTAACATATACGTGAATGTGAGCGTGTGTTTTCCTCATCCATCTCCTTTCTAAGTTTGCAGCTGCAAGCCGGCATGCCCCTCTGTCCATTTGTGTTTATCTGTCAGTCTTCTTGGCCCACGCCAGGTCATCTGAGCGTGGTTTTTGCCCTGTGAGTCGTTGGATCAATTGCTCCATCCGCCTCCAAAAGCCCAGCTGGTCCAGTGGATAGTTACACCAGCCTTGGTTATGAAAAAAAAAAGAAAAGACACAAGTTAGGCTGACAAAAAAGAGGAACTGAATCAGGAAAACACAGAAACAATGAACAGAGGGAGGAATTAGTAGGATAGGAACAAAACAGAATGAGTAGAATAATAAGAAATGGTGGAATGGAATGTACTACTGACTCTAAATTCAAATAATGATAAAAACTGAACTATTTACGGACCAAGGGGCTGAGCAAGGAAACTGAAAAGACCACCGAGTGAAAATTCAGAGGGACATATTCAAGGTTAAACATACTTAGATACCCAAAAGCTGAGAAGTGGCAATAAGCCATTTTAGAGCCCAATATGTAACAATGATCGGAAATTTAATAAAAATAAAAATGCAATAATACCTGAAATGTAGTAACTGTACAATATTACTGAGTCCAAAAACAACAACTTTTTTTGGCGAAAAATGTGGGAATTTGTTACATTTTTGACAAATTATTACATTTAGTAGATGACAAATAACACCACCTCCACCACACTACAAGCCCCAGAGCTTTCAACTCAAAGTGTGATGTCTGAGGGGAGTGGCCACAATGTGATTATGGTACATTTCCAGTGAGCAATACAACAGAGTAAACATGCCTATAATCTTTTGCAGGTGATAATCTATGGGTAAAATGTTAAAGAGGGGTCTAAGCAGAGAAAACAGCGCATTAAAAAAGTACTTAAAATAATAGGCATAAAGGAAAACTCCACACACACAGCGTGCATAAAGATCCCACAAGTCATTTCTGTCATGATCCAAAGAGTATCCTGACATCTATATCCTTATCTAATATTTGTGAGTCTGTGTTTCTGTGAACTTGCAGATGCACTCCAGCCTTTTAAATATAATTTAAGTAAGACATTTTTACAGGTAGTGTGGCCACAAAAAAATACATAAACAAAAAAAAAAGTCACACACTAAATTTCCCCGCAAATTTGTGAAATAGTCTAAAATTCATTTGGATGCAATCAGGATATTCAAAGGCACACATCGCCATCAGTCAAAAAACTGACAGCTAGTATACCAACTTTTGTAATGTCTTATCTGGAGTCAGCTGGGCAGCTAAAGAAACAGCTTTTTTAATTTTTTTTATTTTACTATTTCCCTAAAATATTCACAATGAATAACAACGTAAGGTTTTCTTCATCAGGACACCCTACTTTAGCTTATGAATGACAAGTAAAGATTGTTTTGTCCTCAGGGGGGCGCCAAAATTGACACAAACTGAAGTGTGAATAAACAAATAAATAAATTTAAATAAATTGTAAAGTCATTGTCACAAACACAGACGTGTCAGTTCTGCACGTGTGCTCAGCTCCTTTATCAGTCTTTATTATTCTTATTATTTTGCACAAATCTGTTACCTTTTAAACTATCTGAGAAAGTAAAGGTGTGCAACCTGGTCATAGTTCTATGATGAATTTTATTGCACACCCAAGGGCCTCTCCTGCCAGCCAGGCTGCTGACTGTGCTGTCTATCAAAAACATCAGTAACTCTGACGGCAGCTACAGAAGGATGTGAGTTTGACACTGACATACTGTATAAGTGTTTTAGACAGCTCAGTCCGCCTTGCACCCCACATGGTGTTGTGCTACTATATGGTATTAGACTTCTTTTATCATGATCCTTATTTGCTCATCAACAGTGCAAACACAGGCTCATAGCAATCCTTTCTCCAGCCCCTCTTGTCCCCTTTCCCCTCAAAACACAGTGAACTCCTTTTTCCGAATATCTCTTTTAGTTTTCATCTCTTGGCTTCACCTCAGATTTCACTCCGCTGTCCTTAACTTTCTCCTCCCTCTTTTGTCATCTTTCTTTCCCTACTTTATTCCCATCTGCACCCTGATCCTCTCTTCTACAATCCACATCCAACCTCTCGTCTCCCGTCATCATACGCAGACTAGATTTCAGAGGAGTGGAGGGATGTGAGGATCCTCCCAGGAGATCTCCTTAGCCCCAACTAACACTATGAAAGAAACACACACACACACACACACACACACACACACACACACACACACACACACACACACGCGCGCACACACTTTCAGTCTATAAACCTCTTATAGCAAAGCGTCTGCTGTATGTTTAAGATAAATACATTAATGTATGTATGGCTGCAGGCCAAAGTACATTTACATGTACAAATGCATACATGCATAACTGTACAATGGTCTCTGCGCGTACACACACAGCTCTGACAAACACACCCGCCTATGTTGAGCACATTGCACACATGTAAGGGATGCGGCCGAGCAGTCCCCTGACACACCAGATGAAAAGCCTTTTTGCTATTACCAAGACACACAAACACTCAATCTGTGCTTTTGTATGTAGAGAGAATCACTCTCTGAAATGGACTTTTACTTTGAAAACCTGCAGAGTGGATGACACCAGCAAACTAGCGAACACACTCACACACACACACACACACACACACACACACACACACACACACACACACACACACACACACACATATTGACGAGAAGCAAATACAGACATCCACATGGGCAATGTGTACTTAGGCTACTCTTGTCTGATGCTTTCACACAACCACCAATGATGGGTTTGCATTGGGTGCATGCTATAGCTGCAGGGTGGTGTGTGTGTGTGTGTGTGTGTGTGTGTCCCTCCAGTGACCCTCCTTCTACTGAAAGACAGTGAAGCAGCCAGAGGTTTTGTTTGATTTCACTCTCTTCCCCTTCATCTCTCCTTATTGTCCTTCTTTCACCATACACTCCTTCTCCTTTTTTTGCTTTAAATCCCTGCTTACTTCCCACCCCCCCACCCCCACCCCCCTTCCTCCCTCCCCTGTCCTCCACCCCCCTCTGCCTGTGAAGTCCTATTTGTTAGAACAGACAGCAGGTTAGCATTAAATATACATGGGGATTGTCAGCCGGTGGCGAACACAAAGGCAGCTAGGCGGGCCCCAGTGGAATCCAAGCCTGGCCCAGGCAGGCAGGCTGGGGGAGCGAGGGGCCGTCACCGTCCCCTGTGGGCCCCGACCGCCATCAACCCACCTCCCGCCACAAACACATACACACATACAGGTTAGAGACCGAGGGGAGGTCAAAAAGACGAGTACACACACAGATGCTCCAGTATGCAGATGTAAGCTAGCGCGCACATGTATACACACACACTTCCTCGGTGCCACCCCCCTCAACTTACACACACACACACACACACACACATCTGTCGTCTGCAGGGGCGCAGGGTGACGTACAAACCCAATCCCCCTTGTGTGTTCTCTCTCTTTCCTCTCCCTCTCTCACCCAGATGCATGCAGAATACTGAATGTGTATCTGTTACGGAGGCCTCGAGTCTCCAAAGACACACGCACGCAAACAGAACATTGTCTTTTAGTTATTTATAAGAAACCGACAGAAAGACAGACACAACCGCCATTTTGTCCCAATCTACTGAGAATTGTTTGTGAAAATATTCTGGAGTCATCAGCTGCAATTATAGGAATCTAAGATGGCCGCCCACATGATACTCAAAGAAAAATATCCAAACTCTCATCCTCCTTCTTCAGCTTTGTCTCATGACGGGACAGTTTAGGAAGGTTTGCTTCAGGAAGGGTTGTCCTTAAACTGTTTCAAAATTATTTTCATCTGCCTTCCTCACCTTCACCCTGTCCCTCTTTTACCACTCAAAAGGGCCGAAAGCAACACAAGCAGTCCAGTGGAAAGAAATCCTTCAGCGTCTCTCCTGCTACCATTTATAACTCTGCTGAGTTCCTCCCACTGAACAAACATGACACAACAAACGTGCACGCCCTTTGGCTGGACTTGACCTGGAGAGTCAAGGTTGCCTATCAGTTGTCTTCCCAAACCATCTACTCAGTTCTAATTAGTTATGCTGGTATCAGGGGGTGAGACAAAAAAAAAACTGTAAATAATGCGTTAACACTATTACAGCATCAGCAACTATGACGTCAGAAAAAAAAACTTGTGAAGGGATTTGACTTACGATGCGTTCCATTTACCGCAGAAGTCGGAAGTCGGAGCTGGGAATGACACCACACCCGAGTTACCAGTGTTTAAGTTACAAAGTCGGAAAAAAGTAGCCAATGGCCAAAAACAGAAGCGGAAACAAGATGGCTACATCTACTAAAGTTATTCTTGCGCTTGCCTTGTCCGAATATAAACAACTTCTGGACAAATATGTGGTCCTTCTGCAACCTACACACACACACACTGGATGAAGAGGAAACACAAAAGCGCAGAAGGTCAACTCAGGGGTTGTGTGGATCGGCCGACTTTCTGAGTTCGGAAATCCTGCCTTTCGAGTACAACTGGAACGCACCATTAGACATAAATCTTGGCGTTTTAGGCACTTAAACACAGCCAACACAAGCTACATACAGGCCGGACAGTAAAAAAACATTCTAACCAACTTTATTAAGCCAGAAATAAATCCTGGTGTGAGGTTCCTCAAATATTACATTACAAATAAGAGAAATGCAAATGAGCATCAAATAGTTATGATATATACAATAACGTTGTTTATGCTGAAGTATGACATGACATTATTGACAGCAGTATTGGCAGATGTATTAGCAGACAGTTCCTAACCCATGCTCTGTTGTGGAAGCTCCAGGTACTGACAATGCCAAAAAAAAAAAGTCCTCACTGAGGCTTTAAACTAAATTTAAACCATGTTGTGTACTGTAGCTTTACATCATCCTAACTATTGTTGTCAAGCTCTTTATACCTGCCTTTGTACTTATATACCAAGAGCTGGAACATTTTTACAGAGGATTGATTGCTAGGGTACTGTCCTAATACCATAATGAACTTAATATGATGAGTATACTCTGGCGTTTCATTAAGTAAAATGGGTCACTGCTACACTGATGAACTGAAATTTGATGTCTTGGAAGTTGTTGAAAAGAAACATCAGAAAGAGAAGCATTTTACTCCATGAAAGCACTTGATGTTGTGCAGGTTTATCGTTAAAACTAAGATCTAAGTCAGTCATATTGTGTTGGCTTTGGATTACTTTAGACAGAGATGGATTTCAACCTTTTGGGTAAGTTCACACTCCGCTCTTCTAGTTTAGAAATAAGGGCCAAGTGAGAACAAGGTTGCTCTCATCATGTATGAATGCACTCATTTCCTGTTGTGGCATAACGCTGCAGCAGCACATTGTTTTATACATTTTGAAGTAATAGTTTATGCAATGAAAGCTGAGAAAATCTCTTTGGATCATGAGTTTAATTTTAAGGCAAATGTGCATAAACCAAGTGAAATTATCAGCTATGATAAAACAGTACTCTCCTATCAAGGAAACTGATTTGTTCATTTGGTTGAATTTGATTGGACAAATCACTTATAGTATATTACAATGAGTTCATTTGAGGCTTCCTGGTTGAGTGGTGTCAGACAAAAGCATACTGACCATAATAATAGTGGTGCATGGTTTAAGTTCTCACCTGTGGTAATACAGTAGTATGTCTCATGTGGTGAGACATGGTGGATTCTGTGATGTTTCCGTGGCAACACCAGGTGCCAGTCCTGAAGCAGCATGACCCAACGTGGCAGGCCAAAGTAGGAGTGGCTCCACTTATGTATCTGATTGGTCAATGTTACGAAAACCGCCAGGGCGAAGACATAGCAGTCCCAGGGATAGGACGCTGCCAAGGCCTCTGAAAGGTGAGAGGAGACAGGCAGACTTTTACATCCAGAACAAGAAAGACAGACAGAGAGAGAGAGAGAGAGAGAGAGAGAGAGAGAGAGAGATGGGGGAGAGTCAAGTTAATAGAATAATTGATCAAACTGTTTAATGTAATGAACAGGGCCAGCATGAAGGCGTAGTACTCCCACTGAGAGGATGCTGGCAGGAGCCTCGGAGAGATGAAGAGACCGAGGGGGAGGAAGAGGAACGGGGGGGGAGAAGACACAGAGATGGGGAAGAGTGGCAGCAGGGGAAGACAAAGACAGACAAGTGGGAAGATGAGGAGAGAGGGTAAAAATAATCTGCAATGTGACATAAAATCAAAATGACACCATGTAGTCAGAATGTTTTTTAAAGATTACAGACTGTTCACCAAAATAGGAGAGGCCAAGTGGAGAGCAGACATCTGACCGCTGCTGTTGACTTTTATCACATTGTTCACACTGTTATTCACAGCGCTGACACCCCAACTCTGCAGGCATCAAGAAGAAAATTTAAGTCAGCCAGTCAGGGGTGAGACTCTCCTCACCTGTGTGCCATCACACAAGAAGAAAAAAGTCTTTACAAATTCTCTCTGTTGTTTATTAAGCAAGTAAAACATATTGTGATCTTCAGGGTAATTTTGAGTCATCGTCCCAAGAGAACTACACAGCATCACTACGAATTCACCAAGGGACCGGACTGATTGTGCGCTGTGTGTTTATGTGATATTTAGATGAAGGTGGAGTCAGAGGCTGGAGAAAAGAGACATGAGTTTACTGCCCCAGCGAGAATGTCACACTGAAACAGCATCAGAGGTGCATCTTTTTAATGGAAGGTATTTGTTTTAAAACAGGAGGAGAGAGGCCAAAACCTTCACACAGTTTGAGTTCACTCAGAGCTGGAATTCAGCTTAACAAAAGGAAGATTAATTAGAATAAGAAAAATAAACAAAAGAAAGTAAGAGAGTGGAAACTAGGGCTGCATAATTCATCGATTTCAAATCATAATCGTGCAGCCCTAGGGGAAACTATTGGAAAACACAGACTTTGACCCAGTGGCACACCCCATTCATAGAGGCTGTAGTCCTCAGAAGGTGTCCAAATCCAACCGGTTCAGCCATTATGAACCCCAAGATGATAAGGGAGAAAGACAGATGTAAGACTTAATCAACTGATACCAAAGACAAGAGATACACAGAAGGAAACATCAATAGGTGTGGACACAAGGTAAGATATAACCAGAGGAAATACAACAAGTTATGCAAAGCACTAACTAGGGAGAGAGAATTTAAAATGACTTAAAATGACCTTTGACAGTGAATAGTGGAAGAGTTGGCATACAAGGCAAGAGAGTATGAAATAAAGCAGAAAATAAAGACCAAGAAAAAAAAAACAAAGAAGATACAAAATCAACTCATGGATCCCTGTTTCCTAATCAACTGTCTCTTGACAAAACTATAAAAGCCCAAAACAGAACATAGGCATTGAAATATGAAGTTTAAGTCAACTTGTAACTTACCTGAATATTTCTACTCACTGTTAATTAAAACCAATATGATTCATTTGAGTCATCTGAGTCCCATTACAAATAAAGATTTACTCCCATCGTCTAAGTCACTGAGCACAAAATGTGACAGAGAATTCAGAGTTTGTTTGCCCAGACCACCACCATGTCCAGAGGGATTGTTTACATAGGTAGTGTGAAAACTAAACTTGTGACGTAATATGACAAGATCATTAATGCTGCTGCGTCAAAGCCACACACTTTTTAAAAGGGAGGATAAACATCTTTGAGGGAGCTGACGACCCAGAAGATTACAGATACGGTGGGTGAATTGGTCGCCTTAAACATCCCAAATAGTTAGGCCTCAAAGTTAAAAAAGGAACTGTTGTCAGGGAAACTGTGAATGTTAGTTGTGTCTGCTGGTATGAGCTGACAGGTAACAAACATGTCAGGGCTCATACACACAGAAAGTTGAGTCCAACAACCCTCCCAAGAGTATTATGCATGAAAACTCTCTCAGACACGGCTGCTAATGGAGACCTGTTGTTAAATGTTCTGGTCTGTCCAGGTATGACTTACAGCTGTCCTCTCTCTGTCTACTTCCACCCTCTCTTCTTCTTCTGTTTGGTTAAAACAGCGATCTTATGACCCCTGTTCAAGTGCAGACATGACAGCTGGAGATGTCACCTCACGGCTTTCAGCTCTCCTCTCTGCCTCCGTCTCCGTCTCTGTCTTTGTCTGGTGACCGCTTGACGCCGTGAGGAGCTTGACATGACAGGTTTAGATGTCATCTTACCGCTACATGACTCTCTGCCACCGCCACCCCCCCCAGTACTCTCTCCCTCCGTTCCTTCTCTTTGCACTCTCACCCTCTGTCTCAAACTCTAAGTAGTGACCTCTTATGGTGCAGACATGACAGGTGTAGATGTCACTGCATCTCTTCCTGTCTCTGTCTGGTGACCTCTTGACTCCCTGTGGTGTGTGATATGACAGGTGTGGATGTCACCTCTGAGTGAACCTCACTGCTGCTCTCTCCCCTCTAATCTTCCCTCCCTCACCCCCCATTAAATGCTCCCTGCTGCGGACAAGCAGCTGACCTTTGATGGTTTCCCCTTTGCTCCTCAATTTCTTAATGTAAAAAAAAAAAAACTTTTCAAAGTTTTTTTATTTTGTCCAGCATTCACAGTCTCTGCTTTTTTTAATCATCTTTGGTGTCCCTGAGTGTCCATGGATTTCCCTTTAATACAGATAACTGTACTACTCTGAGAAAGTTTACAGTGATGTTGGTGACTGTGAGGCAGCACTAAAGTGCTTCAACGATATCAGAATAAAGGTCTTCTAATACATTTTGTTGATATTCTTAAAATGTACTACACAGCACTAAAACAGTATGCAGCTGAGGATAACGTGAGTGTAATTTAACTTGCATGAACTAGATAACCATTGATAGTAAAAGGTGTTAATAGTGAGACAATGATCTTCCACTGTTTTAAAAGCAACTACTGTGAACACATTCATCTTTTAAACATCTTCACTTTAATACACAGGTCTTGTTTTTCCTTTTTGATGAAGGTTATAGTCACAGCTAGCCCAAACTTAGCTACGCTGTTACAGGCTTGGATTGGTACAATGAACTCCTCTCTTTCCCTCCTTCTCCTCTATTTGTCAGTGTGATATCATCACCTTTAAATCCTGAAGTCCAGATCTGTATACTAGGGGTGGGACTCAGCAGTGGCCCCACAATACGATATTATCACGATACTTGGGCCACGATATGATATTATTGCAATTTTTAACATTTTGTAATACCATGAGTATTGTGATACAATAGATTGCAATTTATAAAATTTTTTAGAGAATTTCCCAGTTTGGGCTCAATAAAGTATATCTATCTTATCTTTTTAACTGTTTAGCTAATTCAGCATTTGTCTTTCCTTTAAGTTTGTCTTATTGATGCAAACCTCAGATGTCATGTCCATCTCATTTGTGCCCTGCTTGCATTCTCAATGTCCCTCCCCAGGTGCTTTGTTGTACTAACTTTCTCCTGCTCTGTGACGTCACCTCTGCCAACCTCACTGGACAAACAGTTGATTTTATCACAAGTGGCAAGGATTTTATCACAGATTTGACTTCATATTAACAATTAATTCAACCAAAATCGATACTTGGTAAATCAGACAATACGATATATCACCAGACAAAATATTGTGAAACTATGCTGTATCATTTTTTTCTCCCACCCCTACTGTATACTGATATGAAAGATGGTGCAGGTGGTCTGCTGAGCATCAACCACATTACAGCTGAAACTACTATCAACATCAGTCTCACCATTGTCATCACTGCTTCAATGCTGATAGTAATTTTAGGATACTCATTCCAATTACACCTACTCACCTTAAGTTCCCAAAATGTTAAGACGACATAATCATTATTTGTATGCAGTTGATTGTAAACAGCAAATATTTTTCATTCTTAGTAGTAGCACCCATCAGTCTGAATGAGCGGTTTGGGTTATTGCTGTCTGTCTCTATTCGTTTATTTCTTTCTGTATTTCTCTCTGACCTCTCTCCAATCCAATTTAAAGGGTATTTTTCCTTGCCACTTGCTCAGTGCTGCAAAATGCTCAGCTCATGATGGGTTGAGTAAAAATAAGTACACAAAATAAATAACTGTACTGTGAGATGGAACTGAATCATCTCCCATCCTGGTGTTCGATCTTCTAAATAATGAAAACAAAAAGGATGGTCTAGACCCGCTCTTTTTGTAAAGAATCTTGGGTTCACAAGTGAATTGGTGCTCTGTTAATAAAGATTGATTAGCTAAACTTTAAAATGTACTTTTGTAAGATATCAAATATTTCAGGTGTCATCAATGTTCTCTCACTCTCTTGAGCCATTGGCTTATTATTTCATAAAGACATAAAGGCATTACCGTGCAGCCCATGTGTGAGCGACACCAGAGACATCGGTGGACAGTGTTCTGTGATCAAATGTTAAAATTCAGAAGAGATGCTAAATAACAATGATAAAAAAAAAATAATTCAGATAAAAAAAGCATTTCAAAAAAACTTGACCGGAGCTGAAAGCACCTCTAGCGTAGCCTTTAACCCGGCTAACTGGTGTAATCACCCCTGCCCCCTCCTTTTTTACCCATCAGTGACCTTTCAGCTAAAGCTGGAGTGCAGACATGACAGGTGGAGATGTCACCGCCTTAATAACAGGTTGCTCTGTTTCTCCTGCTGATCTCCCTCCTCCTGTCCCTCCCTCCCTGCCCTGTTCTTGTAAGGTCAGCGCACATAATCACCAGCAACACTACCTCATGACTTTCCACCATCAGTGGACAACACTTCGACCAGAGTCCCTGCTACCTACGATAGCTTATGGCGCCCTAAGTCAGACTCTGTGAAGTTTACCTGAAGTTGTAAGATTCCTAAAACACCTGCTGCTTGCAAAGTTAATGTAAGCATGACTGTAGAAAACCAGAGACAGATCACACTGGTGTGGCTGCAGTGCCATTTCTCACTGCTTGGTTGGAGTGTTTGTGCAGAGGGAGAAGGATCTTCAGAGACTGCTCCAAACTCTGCAGGTGCTACAACCCAAAGCTTCTCACTCACAGGTGATAACAATGTGCATGAGACATTATTCACACAAAATACAAACGTCATATCCTTGATACCCTCATTTACGGAGTCACAGGAACAAATGACACACCTGCCACCCCTTCTTCAGGGTGTTTGTGCACATCAAAAGTGTTATTTGTGTATTCACAGTTTTTTTTTTTTTTCTATTACGTACATGTGCTCAGTTGTATGTGTGAGAGCTTTCTGGGCTCACCAGTGGAGGAAATGACATTAAACGTGTGTAAATGCTACCTGGTGTGTACGTGAGGAACTTGTAGGCCATGTAGGCCAGCGGGAGGATGGGGATCATACAGTTGTCGCCGTTGGTTTCAATGAAATCGTGGCGAGTGATGGCAGTTGGATCGATGTGGTGCTCCCTGAAAGGACGAATAAATGCCTGAAGAGAATGAAAAAGAGAGAGAGAGAGAGAGAGAGAGAGAAAATGGAAATAATAATTTATGACACACAATTTAATGATAACTCCTGATCCTTTAAGTACAGTTAACAGGCACAAAAGACTGGGTTTCTTAAATGTAAAAATGTACTGCTTGAAAACTAAAGACATCAATTCCAGCCCTTGGAATTTTGTTGAGCATTTTCTTTTTTCTTTTTTTTTATTTGTTGTCCGCAATATTATCATATAATCAATATCAATAATCCTTTTTTATTCCTGTTCTACAAGGAATAAGCTATTTAATCACACAAACTAACATAATTAATATACTGAATTTCCCTTTAGACATCAATAAAGTTCTTCTCCTTATCTCATAATTTACAGTCAGAAAGAATTTTAACACAAAATCTTCCACACAAATGTTAAAATAAGAATCAATCTGGTAAGTACGAAAGAGAATTAGGGCCACAAGAAGAGAAAAAAATTATTAACGGAGGAAGATTTTTTTTTTTTACTTCCATTTCGAGATTAAAGTTGAAGTTACGAGATAACAGAACCTTTACTTGATTTATTTTTTACATCATTTATATTTTTGTGACTTCAAAATGAATTGAACGGCGTAACATTGTCACAATAGCCTGGTTTGATTATCACTGATGACTGACTGTGCAGCTAGTAGTAGTTAGTTGATCACTTCAACTATGACCTCTCCCTCTTTCCTCCTTCTCCTCTGCTTCCTCTGCTTTCCTTTGTCTCCAAATGGCAGAAAAGCAGGAAAGCAGAAAAGTTGTTGTTATTTGGCAAAATGAGATTCAGGTTTATGGGTCAAGCCAGTTAACTGAGCTCCATAATGCTTCAGGTGCAGCTTTGGCCGTTAAAACAGCCGCTGCTGTACTTGACTTAATTTAATATATTAAATTAAGAGGAACCCACACTGTCTCTGCAGTTTCTGGCTTTTTGCTTTCTCAGTCAAACACAAATATATCAAGTTTTCACAGAACTGACATGGTTTATAACCATAGCTACAAAAAGACGGCTATAATACTCTCATGGAGTTACATTGACTCTAAATCAGAAAGCAAAACAGACAGTGGAAAGTATTGTTTACAGTTTTTACACAAATGCAGATCAAATGCTCACTAACACACACACACAAACACACACATACACACACACACATCAAGACTCAGCGGTGCTGAGCATCATGCGCAACCCCAAAGCTCATATCCAGCATTCTAATAAACCACAGAACAGCAGTTGGCTCGCGCAAACACACTCATAAGCATAAATGACCCATGGACACCCCACAAAAACTAAAAAATGTGAGCTTCAAACACACACACACCCACAGATACACACACACACCCACAAGCCCACAAACCCCACCTGCACTGTGCAGAGGCAGGCACCTGTCTGTGAGAGCATGGGGGTCTCAAATGAAAGACTGAATCTGAATCTCAGAAGCACAAAAGAGGACAAAAAGAAGCATGCACACACATGCACACACAGGATAAAGGTAATTTATTTCCCTCAGTGGAAAAGGCAAAAACGGAGGTTTGCATCTCTATTTCCATGGTGTGCATCTATGCATGTGTGTGTGCATGTGTATCTTTGGAGGCATCAGCATGAAAACTCATTATTGCAGCGATAGCTGGTCGAACCAAACGTGCACGTCTGCCACTGAACATTGTTGGTAGGTGCCACAGCAAACAGAGAAACTATCTGTCGATATCTGCACAATTATGTACCCATCTCCGTTCTTGTCTGCCTTCTCTCCAACCTCCACGCTCCCAACACCCCCCTCTCTTCGCCGCAGCCCTCAGCCAGATGAAAGCCTGGCTAAGCTGCAGAGGTCGTGCCGAGCAGGGCGGCATCAGCGCTCCCAGTTAACGGTGGGCCACTGGTCGCTGTGTGTCCTCTAATCCCACACCGTTTAACGGCCCACCTCGCACGAAGTCCATTAATCACCAGCTCACATCGCCCATCACCCCAGCAACCAGCGCTGTCCCACTGGCTGGACAGACACGCCCCCTCCACCCCCTTCCTTTTTTTGTCCCCTGACCGTTATACTGTATTTTCATCTCTCTGTCTGCTGTCTTTTTTTGGCTTCCTTTTTGGTCGAAGATTTTTAACAACACATTTTTTCACTTTCTATTACACCCCTTTTCCCTTCTGGCCCTGGAGCAGGAGCTGACCTTAGTTATTCGCTCATCTCTACTGTGCCCTCTGATCAGCCTAACAAGAGAGGCACATTTAGAGTCAGGTTTGTCAAGGGTGGAGGAAACCTAATTAAACAACAGGGGCAAAAAAGCTGGCAAAAGGAGAGGGTAGCGATGCAAATGCAGGAGAGAAACTATCAGAGAGGAAGGATGTTCAAAAATATCCCTCAACTAAAAGCACATCTGGCAAATTTCTTTGTGAATCGAGCATCATTGGGAACTAATGAGCGTGACTTTGTCCTCAAAGTGGTGTCATTAGGGGACTGCTAAATCCTTGTTGAGTCAATTAAAGCTCAACGACATGATGACGACAAAAAGCAGCACAGCCCAAAGCCTCACAAAGGAATAGTTCTTAAGACTTCTGGGAGAATGTAGAGCACTTTAAGATAGTGAAAAATAATATATGTATGAAATCAAAGAAAATCTGTATTATATAATGTCAAACAAAGAGCATTAAGAGTGTAAAGGAAGTAGAATTGAACTTTATACCTTAAGCTGGAGCCGCAAACTCCAATGTGTAGGTAGTAAAACTTTTAACATGTACATAAAGGAGATGCACAGGGGTACAGTGGTCAATAATAAAGCTGGAATAACGAATTGGTAAAAATAATTTCATCGATTATTAAAAGCGTCAGCAATGAATTTCGTTGAATTTCGTTCACAGAGCCAGCCATCAAATTCAACTGCAGAGCTTTGTCAAGGCTGGCTGACTTAAATAAAGTTAAGAAAAGATAAATTCCAACCTGCAGTGTGAGTTGACCGGAGCGAGGCAGAGGGAGTATTTCAAGAAATTATGTACAAATCTGGCGGACACAGTGAAAACAGTTCAACCCAAGTCCTCAAAAGTGTGGAAGCACTTAACGCTTTACAAAATAAAAAAAATATATATATATTTTTAAAAAGGGTAACATACAAGCTTTGCAAAAGTGATTCAAACAGCACAGTAGCACCACGGTGATGATAACATGCAACATCCTGAAACGCAAACATGTTGAAGTCATCGATGAGGACGAACGGAGCTCAACAGCAGGGTAAGTCACTGCAACATCCTACATTTGTTTTGTTTCCAAGTGAGGAAACGTAGCTGCAGTCTCTCGCCTAATGCTGTTGTTTGCTTGTTAGCTGGTTAATGACAGTAATAGAGTACTCGCGTGTGTGAGCGTATACACACATATACAATATATACGTGTGTGTGTGTTGTGTTTAATTTTTCATTGGACTACTTGCTTGCCTCAACCTAATACTGCAAAGAAAACAATGAATTGTGCTGTAATACATACTCATACTATACTGTCATTCTCATTCCAGAAAAGAACAGCCAACAATGCAGGTTTCATGGTGGGAAAGTCATTATGCACACAACGGCAAGCAGCTGTCTTGACTGAAAGCTATTTTACAAATTTATATCAATTTTTTTGTATTATTATTATTTAACATTATTGTAACAAAACATTCAAGCAGTAACCTGTTTTTTGTGCACTCATTTGCTTAATTGGTTTAAATGTTTTATTTTGAAATAAAGAGGTGGAAATAAAAAAGTATCCAATTCATTGATTTATCGAAAAAAGAAAAGAAAAATAATCGACTAATTAATCGATGATTAAAATCATTGTTAGCTGCAGGCCTAGTTAATAATGCTGCCTTATAACAAGACCGTTTGACTGGTTTGAATCCTGGCTGCGATCTTTTGATGTTGAACTCATGTGCTCTGTCAGTGCATGTGTGGCTTGCTTATGGACAAATTTGTCAGGTTAATTGGTCACTTTAAGTTACCTGTAGGTGTGTTTTTTGTTTTTTTTGTCTGTTTTTTTAATAACTATAGTGTGGTTTGAATCAATGCATGTTTACTTCCCAATTTCATGCAAATATATAGCACATGTAGAGGATCTTTTTTGTTGAGTTAAATTTTGTATGTGTGTTTCATAAGCACTTTCATAAGCAGGGTAACATGACCCATTGAAGTTAAGACCTCTAGAGATAACGCAGGGGTGTTGAGGTAAACACTGCAGCACATGCCAGTTTATTTTTGGGCTAGCTGGTCAAATGGGGTTATGTAATGTGTATTTGCATCATGACATGAATGATGCAAAAGTAACACCACACCACCTCTCTCTATGAGCAGCATTTCTGTTTAAGAAATGATTCAAGTCACTTTTTTATGACTTATACTTTCAGCTTTTCTCTTATAGATCAATTAATACTGCTTACAGAAAGAGCCTCCACAGCCTCTGCAGCATACTTCCCTCTGATCCTGCAGATCATACCGACTGTGCTGAGCCATGAATTTGACAGATAGAAAATGTGATTAGCTGGCTTGCTGCTGCCACTGCTCTGCTGCCCACACCACTGGAAATATTATTTATGACGCTATGACAACAGGCTCCCATGACTATACGGTGTGCTCTTTTGAGAAGTTATAGAGAGAGCAGGAGTCAGTATGTGCAGACATCACGTTTATGTCTACACTAATGCTTTTTAATGATGTCTTCGATACAGCAGCTTTAGTGCTTCAGAAAAATCCTGGCAATAATAGCATGAGAGCATGCAACCAACAGGAAACATTATAAAAAGATACATAAAACAAGAAAATACCAGAACAAACAAATAAAGAACTACACTGCCTTCAAAAGTTTTCTCTATAACAGCAACTGCTATTAGCCTTAGGTGTTCTCCATCGGTCTGGTCTTTGATATTCAAACTAACTCTAACTGGGAGCACAGGCCGGCTTTATTCTCAGCCTCCAAACTCACACAGCCTTAAAACCCTACTGAGGTGTGTACCATGGGTTTTTTGTCTCCACACACACACACTGTCACACAAATATTCCAGCCGCTTATTGTCATCCCTCTGTTCTCCACTAAGGTCCATTCTTCTCTTCCAGTTGAAGTCTTTATTAGAGGTCTCCTACAGAGTCCGACACACCATGCAAATCTGTGGCTGCCGCCGTGCCTTTGGTGCCTTTAACTACTGTGAACCCCATAAATGTGGCATCATAAATAAACATCACACCACAAAGTACCTTCAGCAAGAGAGTGACAGAGGACTTCACAACACATCGTTTAGAGTCCGCTGATCGTGCAATGCATGTTCACAAAATGTGTTATTATCTGAAGGACACAATGTCACAACTAAATATTTTTCTTAGAATGAGAACAATAAGTTCACACAAACAGTGTTGTGTCTAAATAAAAGCCTGACAGGAAAAACCTGCATTATCACAAAACCACATAAAAACAACACTTACTACTTCAGTTTATCAAAATAAACACACATTCATGTAGCAGACAATGATGTACGAAGTGATACTTCTCCAAATGACTTCTCCAAACCTGTGATTTTGATGGACCTACAATGAATGCTTTTCATGGGGAAAAGTCTTAGCTCATTTTAGGGGCTATGTACATGAACACAGGACTGCATAAGAACATCATACTGTAACTCATTACTAAACACTTTACATACAGTCACATGCTTAAGTGTCCTCAGGCAACACAATAAATGCCAAATGGAGAGCGGTGTAAACACTGTTAGTTTATATTGATGGCCATCTTATGGCATCAGTGACTGAATTAAGTGTAAATGGGTAAATGTAGTGAGCTGGATAAAAGTGCTCTGAGTGGTTAAAAAGCCCCAAAAAAGTGTCATTAAAGTTCAAGTCCATTAACTGTTTATGGGTTGCTAAATTACTCACAGCATCAATCTTACGTTGGTTACCCTTGGTCTGTTGAATCCACCGTGTTTTTCTCAGAAATAAGGTGTCGGTTCAAAACAAGAGATAAACTAGAAAAGCACTCGGAGAGCGCAGACCTCCGCCAAGCAGATCATGTCCCCCCTTATATTGTGATTCACACCAAAACTTTTACTGTTACGTGTCTTTTATTAACTTTTATTTGTGTTTTAACTGGTATGTTCACTGTTCATAATGTTCCTAAAACAAGAACTGCCCAGAGCCGGATTCGAACCCAGGACCCGCTTGCTGTGAGGCGACAGTGCTAACCACTACACCACTGTGCCGCCCATTTGTCATCTTTCAGCATTGAAAATTCCAATGACACCCTTATTTTTGTGTGTTCTGGATCACAGTATCTGGAATTTTGTCTGGATCAGGATCAACCTTTGACACCTCATAAAACTCATTGAGATCCTTTTGTGTAATTTTTTACTAAAGACTCTGACCATTTTTATAGAGTTAAATGCAAAAATTCCAAAATTTGCCCAATCTCACAATGATAAAGAATCCTTCAAAAAATTCCTGGATCCAGAAGGTGATCCGGATCACCACCAAAATGTGATGGGATCCTCCTGGGGCTGAGACACACCTCTGGTGAAAATTTCAGGTCAATCCATCAGTAACTTTCTCCGTAAAGTTGTTCACAGACAAACAAACCAACAAACAAACCAACACTACCGAAAACATAACCTCATTGGCGGAGGTAATAAATCGAGTTACATGTTAAATTTAAAAATATTTATATATATGTTATAATCTAATAAAGTCTTTCATTCTAGCAGTGTGCAAATGGGTTTCTTTAAACTTCAAAAGTGGGCTTCACATTGGTGCAATGGCTGTGCCTTGAGACAATAAAGTTTCCTGCCCTTCTTCTTGGAGTTTTTTAGTGGGCTTCCCGTGATTAATCTTACCATGTCCACAAGTCTACACCCCTGTGCCCGCCAATAGGGAAAGGTGCTAAGAGTGCTGAATGGATAAATTAAATCAAAGGCAAATAACTCTAGACACTATCCACTCTCCCTCATATAACTTGTAAGTTGACAATTAACACATGTTTTTAAGGGTAAAAAGAACAGTATAGAATTAAATGTTTGCTGGAAAATGCTTTGTTGATCTTGTATCAGTTCAGTCAAGTTTTAAAAGCATTTTGTTCATGCTCTTTTGGCTGAGTGAATATTATGCCATCCCAGCAGAAATGATACAGTAATTTAGTCAAAGGTTACTGGGATAACATTAGATCAAGCACAGCTTTATATTGTTTTTTTTAATTTGTTTTGTTTTGTTTGTTTTTACCTAAATATTTGAAGGGTAAATCCAGACTACAGGCCCTACCAGCACACACAAAAAAAACTCACATTAAGATTTGCCTGATCCAGGCTTTCAAAAATAACAATAATAAAAGTAATAAAAAAGCAATAATAAACACTCTGTACTGTGAAATAATGCTCTTTTCTTTGATAAATCTGGTTTCTTTAAAATTACAGAAGAGCAAACAAAAGTGGTCTAGAAATATGATTTAAAAGTATTGTGGTTTAATCCTTTAAAGAATTACAGCTATCATGACAGTGATGTTTAAAATATAAAACAAATTATTTTGTCATTCCAATGATTAAATTATCGATTAATACTTAATAAGTAATAGATTTATACACTGAAATAAACACAGTCACTCTCCCCACACAAACAGTGAACCTTTTTCTCATCAATCAAGTTTATGTCTCTATAAGCCAATCAGTGAGCTGCAGGGAATTTAATTGGCTGAAATTAGGATAACCTTTACTCTAATTGGCTGTGGGAAATGGGACAAAAACGTGTGGGTGAGCAATAACTGTTACTTGTTTTAATGTCAGAATTAAATCCATGCACATCAATCTTCACACATGTATATACAATATTTGCATATGTAAAGATGCATGAGACTGTTTGTGGGGGTTCAAGGTGAGGCCAATCACAGCAGGAGGTTTTAAGCATGTGTGTGGAAGTGTGTATCCTGTGTATTAGGGACTGTGGACATTACTGTGTACAGTGGAGTCTGTGACATTTAGTTTCCAGGTCACTATGGCAGTCCTGAGACTCAGGGGAATAAGGTGCTTCCACCATGCTGCCATGGTAACAAGGCCTCTGGGGACTGGGGACACTGGGCTAGTAAGGTACAGTATCTTCTGTGGGTAACAGTATTGGTTGAAATGTATCATTTCACATTACACAAAGACAAGCTTTAACTTAATAACAACAAATCTCAAGAACCAACCCCCTCTATATATTCTGCAGTCTCACTAACTTTGTGTATAAAAAGTGAGACAAACTGGACAATAAACTTATCCTTGTGCAATCTGGGAACTTAACCTTGCAGTCAAATAGAAGGGAGAATTTCTTCATGAAATTAACAAAGCTCGGACATCAGGGATAACGCACTGCTACTCTACCAAGACTTTTATTCATACCTTACCTTAACATATTATCTGTCACATTTTCAAACTGATGCTTCATGATTGAATTTCATGGCTGGGTTTTATAGTTAATTATTCACATTTTTTTAAGCAATTCATTCAAACTTCTGCAACTGATACAGCACGCTGTAACAACTGCTCCTGCGATCTGAAGTTTTACTTGAAAAAGGGATGCAGCAAGGGATAATATCTGTGTCAATCAAAACAAAATGATAGACATAAAATTTCCTCTCAGTAGTGATACATAAATGATGTGCTTGCACTGACACCTTAAACGTAACAACAAGCTTTTACATGTCAGCTGTACTGAAGTACTTTGACATTTTGCAAACGGAGGATATATTTACTGAAATAGTTGCAGTTCATTTCCAATAAGTTCAAACTACATCAATACATCTCTTTCTTCAAAAATAATAAATAAAATGAATCAACTCTAAACACTTTAATAGAGAAAAAAATCCTCCAGAGTGTGGCATCAACATGACAGTAATTGTGTACATCATTTTGGGGCTGTTATCAATGTGCCAGTTCAGCTATCAGTGGAAAGTGACTTCAGGAGAACATGAGGAACGTGTTGCTTTATTTGTGTGGAGACTAATAAATGCCAAATGACTGCATTCTGTTTAATGTACCCTGGCTGTGGTCTTTTATTCATATACGGTATAAAAGTATGTATGTATGCATGCTCACCTTGCCAATAACAGGGATGTCCACAGATCCCCAGGTGTCTGCCCCCCAGTGTACCATCCCCGATGCAAAGTCTGCTGTCACTATTCCGAGGACTGGCACACAAACACAGACAAACACAAACAGACCAGCACAAAGGAAAAACATATGTTGTAATTACATTTGCAAGCAAACACTAAACCACTATATAGCAAGCCTCATGTGGGAGGGAACAATGATTTAGGTATGCACCATTTATTAAAAAGTTACTTATGTACAGAAGAGTCTTTTCAAACAATTGTTAAAAGATGCTTTAAAGACACAAGGCTTTACCATTGATTTGGTATCTGTGATCTGCTCACCTATGCCGAGGATGATCTTGAAGATGTGAACAGTGGAGAAGTGCAGGAGCAGGAAGGAGAGGTTGACGATGAAAAGGAAGAGGCACAGAATGACACACACCCACTCCTGGAGCCGCTTACCTGAAACAGAGCAATAAAAGACAAATGTCATCCATCTTTGCACAATCACAACTAGGGGTGTCCCGATACGATACTGATATTGGATATCGGTCTGATGTCAGCAAAAAAAAAAATATATCGGCCTGCATCTAAAATCACTGATAATAGAACTCTGATAAAAGAAGTCCATTCCAGACTCTGCTCTGGCACCTTAATTTAGCAGCACCCAGATCAAGCATGCAGAGCCCATATAATCACAACAACAGTGTGTAGGTACTAACAAAGTGACAGCGAGTTGGAGTGATGTCGCCTGTGTGGCGGTAGTTTTCATTTAAGACCGAAGAAGACATTGCAGCTGAGTGCAAAACTTGTCATGCACAATTCTGTGCCAATATCAGATCAATATCAGTATTGGCCAATATTGAAGACTACAATATCGTTATCATATCGGAGGTAAAAAATTGTATCGGGACCCCCCTAATCACAGCAATAACTTTGTGTGTTTGAAGAGAGTGTGAACTGTTTAGGGCTAAAGAGAGGGTGGGAATTATAAGATGTGGACGGGGTTCAGCTTTGATGTTTTCATCTGGGTGAGGTCCAGAGCACAAGTCACTCCAAACCAGAGGTCAAAGGATCACCAACTGGAGGCTAAGGGTGTGTGTGTGTGTGTGTGTGTGTGTGTGTGTGTGTGTGTGTGTGTGTGTGTGTGTGTGTGTGTGTGTGTGTGTGTGTGTGTGTGTGTGTGCCTGAGTTGTTAATATGTAATCAGTCAGATGAAGACAAGTGTACTCCAAGCAGAGGGGTCAAGACCTCTCATATGTGAAACACCAGAGCTGACGCAGCACCAGGTGGAAACACACACACACACACACACACACACACACACACACAGAGGCCGTTCAGGTGGGAGGTAGCCCTCTGCAGGGACGAGGCCAAACTCATAGGTCAGCAATATTAACTAAAGGACAGAGAGAAAGGGACTAACTTAAAATGCTCGCACTCTGAAATGGCAGATCAGCAATATTAGATGAGAAATAGAAGGGTCAAACTAAAAGCCTTCAAAGATTAGAGACGCTGAATTATTAAAAACACACAGGTTTTGATCTGCAGCTCATCCACTGCAGGGTTTTCTTCTACTTCCCACTTGTCTTTAAGTCTTTTTCAAGCTCACACTCCTTCGAAATTCATCCCTTTGTTTGCATCTGTTCTTTCTTCTCCTGTGACATGTCTGACCTGTCAGCCAAAGCAGGGAATCTGACCCATTTACAAAAATAAACTACAAAAAGTACAAATATTAACTACAACTCATGTGTTTTAAGTCGCTCTCTTTTGTTCTTTGTCTCTCTCCCCCCTTTCTGTCCCTCTCCTCCTAATCCTCCTTTCTTCGCCAGTCTAATGTGCTTTTTAAACTTTAATGTCTTCAGATCCTGATATATCACACAGCATTAGCAGCCTATAAGATATTCATGACAGTTTTTTTAATAAAGCACACGGGCGTTTGAGTGTGTGCGCCTATAGACCTGTGCGACAATGAATATGCTATCAGCCTCTCATAAGGTATGGACTGAAGTTGTCACGGGAGATTTAAAATATGTGATTATGGATATTTTACGAATCATCAAATGTGACCCTTCACCTTCTAAAAATAGACGCTATCAAAGTTATGGAGGGACAGATGGCTAATTCAAGAGGAGATGGAAGTTCAGCCTCTAAACGAGTTTGACTTTGAAACTGAAGGATGTTTTGAAAATCTCTACAGTTTTCTGTATAGACTGGAGTTTGAAGAAGCACATAAAGTAACATCATGTTGGACTTCTTCTTGATGATGGTTCACCCCACCCTGATTATATCCACCAAGCTGTGATCAGCAAAAGCAACTAAATCCACCTAACAGCTCCACTGAGTGACAATCAATTACTAACAGAATACATAGTTATGATAAATCATGACAAAAGCTTATAAAACCTTCATTTACGTATAATTTTTATTCATGAAGCAAGGACTTCTTGGCCTTTACATTGGCTGCTAAATAACTTCACAAAGAGGTTAATTTACTCAAACTTTTTCTGAAGTTTATGTTCCACAGCATCCGTGCAATCTACACAGACAAGATTGTTCTAGACTGGATGTCAAGCACAGAAACCGCGCATGTTATCTGGTAAATTTCAAAATGAAACACCATATGTGGACTACCTACTGTGTATCAGTTCGTGTAAATGAGAAATACTTCCTAATTTTGGATTTATTGGTAACATAGAACGATCCGATGGTCAATCCCTGATCCATGTGGACCCTAACAGGACTTTTAGCTGCTAACTCTGACTGAAGGTAACAGCACAGCATAAAGGAACTTAGTTTACTTTATTGAACTCAAGTAAACCTGCAAAAACTAAAACTGTAAAATCACGTTGATGAAAACACAATCAGACCGAGACACTAAGGCAGAAGAACTACTGCGTCTGCAGTGCAAAACGATTATTATGATGATTATTACTTCAAGGAAATGATCCGCTGCACTTAGTGATCAACTTGTCAGGGCTCCCCCACAAACAAGTGGCTGCTGGAGGAGAGTGGGTGAGTTGTGTTTGGTCTCTTTGCTAAAGAAATCAGGCAAAGCTACAAAGATATTTGATGGCTAGTACTATGGCGGGGACCCTATATGTACTGTTAAAAAAGTTAGGTGCTGTTCTGAGCATTATTTGTGGCTATAGAGTGGCTTTGTGTTTGAGGTTTGCGTGTGGAGACATAGACCACTGTGTATTGCTATCTTGTGGTTGTTACTAAAGTTGGTTTAACTACAAAAGCAAGCGGTCAGCAACATTCATCTCTTGAGGGGGTGTCTAACTTAGTGTTTTTGACCATAGCTTTAATTTAAGCAGGAACATCCCTTTAACAGCAATGAAGTGCAGATGGTCTGACTTTGATTCCCTCTCTCACACTTGCTGTCTTGTGTGTTTTTACAAGCTGTCCTGGTAAACTACTTTGAAATTATAAGTTCTCCGAAGCAGAGTTTCTTTATGTGAACCGTCCAATACAGCACAAGTCCTCAGGTAACAAACAACAGTACGGTGTACAGTTCAAAGAGACTTAATATACTCCACTTTGTATACTAGGCTCAGGTCTAGTGGCATAACTCACTGTGTTTACACTCTATAGCTCAGGTAATATGTTTTCAGTCCACACAGCCTCGGTCCACACTCAGGTTAAATAGAGCACAGTTGGCTCTGTTGTCTCCAAGCTTCATGTGACACCATTTTCTCCACTCCGCCCCAAGGTACACAGACACACACACACACACACATACACATAGACACACACACACCTCAAGGGATCAGTACAACAAAATTCACTTTCTCAACTCTCATATCATCTGCTCCAACACACACTCTGAACACGCTCTCTCACATACACACGCATACACACACACATCAAGATTTTTATACTCTCTCTCTCTTACACACACAGAACGATGATACAACTGATGGATTTCCAAACACATTCTCACATCTCTCTCTATCTATTACACACACACACACACACACACATCCTCTGACACTTGCACAGATTCAGACACTCCATCTCAGTCACATACACACACAGGCACACACAAACACTCTCTCATACACACACACACACACACAGACACACACACACACACAGTGCAGGGCCGTGGAGCAGTGGGGCGGCTGTCAGGTGATGTGCGTCAGTCCTTGGATCCTCCGGCTCCCTGGTGAGGGGAAGGAAACTAGGACAGGCCTCCGCAGAGTGCACACACACACTCCATGTCTCTCTCTCTCTATCACACACATACACACACACACACACACACACACACACACACACACACACACACACACACACACAAGCCCTTGTCCCTCAGGCCATGGCATTGCTGGATATCACACACAACTACAGAAAGACACACAAAAACAGCCTTTACAAGCACATATATGTATGGACGGACACATGTTGGCAGTGTAACACACAAACACACCTTACCATCACAAAACTCTTATTTTAATCAAAACTAGACACACGTATGTAATCTAGTTTGCACACAAACACAACAATTTCAGATGTATGTTTGGACACACGTAAACACAAACACACTGGCACACACACACGTAACTTCATACACTCTGTGGGTCGGAGCAGCACACTCATTAATATCATTCTGACAACAACTGGCTCCCTGGCAACCTCTCTGCCATCGCTCACCCAGCAGCACCCCCCTCCTGCGAGCGTGCACGAGAGTATGCACGGGGATTTAACCTGGGCGGAGCCAGGGGAGGGGAACGAGGGGTGCTAATAGGCTGAAATTAATCAACGCCGACTGATTCGCTGTCTGGGGAATGAGTGGCGGCCAGCAAGCAGGCAGGCAACACATCCTGAATACTAATAGACTAATGAAGAGGAGACATGGAAGAAGACCCCCTTACCTCTCACTGCTAGTTTTTAGGAACAAGGAAATTGGGTGAGGGATTGAGGGGTGTTCAAATATGTAAAGTCTGAGCAGTGTGAGCTACACTAATGAGCAAACAAAAGATTAAAATCCAGATTCATGTGACAGAATGCGTGCAAATAGACTTAAATGAGCCAAATACCATGGGACCAAATTATGAGTCACACATAAATCAACCCTCAACCTCAGTGAGATGGCAGCAGACATACTTCTTTTTTTGAATACTACTTCTCCCCGCTTCATATTTGTGCAAAATCTGCAGTGCAATAATGAGAAAACCTGGGAGAATTTAGCTATGATTTTAACAGACAAAACAACCTGCCAAGAAATTGGGGATTTTTTTTAAATTTACAGCCCATAATATCAATGAAAGATCCAAAGACTCTGAGAGTGACAAGACCAAAGAACAGGATGGCTCTGATCTTTGGGCTCTCAGATAACTTCGCATTAACAGACCTGACTCTGGAGTGGAAATCCTTGCATGGACTCAAAACCTTTTTTTTTTTTTGTAAATCATGGACTAAACATGACTCCTTAAGCCTGAGGAGAAGAGGAACCACTTAGCTTTTCATCAAAACCCAGTTCAAAGCCAGCATCTGTTGTGGTCCAAGGGTGTATTAATGTCCATGGCATGAGTAGCTTACCTTCCTGGTAAGGCACTGTTCATGCTGGACATTATACAGTGCTCAGCATAAATGAGTACACCCCTTCAGAGTTTTAGAAAACCTTTAGTTTCCTTTCAAAATTAACATTTTCTATGTCAGACTACATCAACAAAATACTCCCCCAGATGTAGGCCATTAATTGCAAACAAGACTTTTTAAGTTGCATACAATTTTTTTTTTTTTTTCCATTCAAAATCAGGATGCAGAAATGAGTACACCCAATCAACGTTGTGGGAGCAAAGCTTAATTTCAGTTACCGTATCACCCTTTTTTTCATCCTATGGTAAATAAAATGTTATGTTAAACTCAGCTTTGTCAAAACTTTGAAAATTGTACTTCTGCTCATCTAGATATTGAGTAATACATTACTTTTAGTCGGGGGTGTACTGACTTATGCTGAACACTGTATACATTTTTTAAGCGACAACCTCTGCCATTCAGGCAATGCCTTTTTTAGGGAACACCATTCATATTTCAGGAAGGCAATACCAAACCACATTATTCAGGTATTACAACAACATGACTCGGTAGCAGAACAATCCACGCTCTAAACTGGCCAACTGTCTCCCATTGAAAACAGAGATCCTGAACTGTTGAGCAGCTGAAGTCATACTCTTAAAAGCCAAAGTAGTGGAACAGTGAAAAGTTGTTTCATTCTTGCTTAATTATATGTTGCATAAGGGATTGTGAGTGTTATTGTTACCAAGGAGGTTATGTTTTCGGTAGTGTTGGTTTGCTTGTTTGTTTGTGAGTTTGTTTGTCTGTTAGCAACTTTACAGAGAAAGTTACAGACGGATTGACCTGAAATTTTCACCAGAAGTGCGTCTCAGCCCCAGGAGGATCCCATTACATTTTGGTGGTGATCCGGACAAAATTCTGGATACTGTGATCCAGAACACACAAAAATAAGGGTGTGGTTGGAATTTTCAATGCTGAAAGATAACCAATGGGCGGCACAGTGGTGTAGTGGTTAGCACTGTGGCCTCACAACCAGAAGGTCCTGGGTTTGAATCCGGGTCAGGGCATTTCTTGTTTTAGGAACATTATGAACAGTGAACATACCAGTTTAAACACAAATAAAAGTTGATAAAAGACACGTAACAGTAAAAGTTTTGGTGTGAATCACAATATAAGGGGGGACATGAGCTGCTTGGCGGAGGTCTGCGCTCTCTGAGTGCTTTTCTAGTTGTTAAATTTGTGATGTTGTGAATGCACAACTTCAATAACTTCAAACTGTCATGCTCATACAGATAATATTCACAGATGAGTTGTTGCCTTAGTGAGTTTAATCTGTTTTGTACTTGAGTTAAAATGCAAGTGAGCATCTCTTAGGTTTGGTCACACACCCCGAACACACCTTTTTGCACTTCTTCCTTTTATTGACACTATCTACAGTCGTTTAATGAGATCAGACTTCCTTTATAAACACTAATGCATCAGCTACTTACACTAATTTGCAGAGGGTGTTACTATATGCCAGAGCTGAATCCAGACAACTCTGGTAGTCTTTTTGTTCTCCGTCTCTCTTTCTGTGTCCCCTGGTTTACTCTCAGTAGACTATCTTCAGATGGGACTTTGGGAGAGAGGGAAAGGGGGAGAGAAAGAGAGAGATGTGGGTGGTAAAAGTGGGTCACATGCTCAGAGAGAATGAGAATGAAAGAGGGGAGACAGAGAGATGAGGGAGAGAGATGCTGAGAGAGAATGACAGTAACAGAGAAAGATGGGGTGAGGAAGGGAGGGAGGGAGGGAGGGAGGGAGGGAGACACAAAGAGGGGGAGAAAGAGAGAGAGGGAGGGGGAGAGAGAGGGGAGGTCGAATTCCCCTGTTCAGAAGGAGTGGATCAGTCACAGGCCTCTTTCCTTTCATCTGATCTCAGTGGACCTGAGAACCTGGGACACACACACACACACAAACACACACACACACACACACACACACACACACACACACACACACACACACACAAACACACACACACACACACACACACAACAATAGTATACAACACAGGGACTCAAGCAAACACACACTAACAGGCACACATACACACACACACACACAAAACCAACATCAACGCAAAGTACACATAGCACAGATGATCACACACACAAGCACAAATACAATATGTACGTCTTTATGTGGATGTACACACACACACACACACACACACACACACACAGGCCTGCCAGACAAACTTAATAAATCCATTACCCTGTAGATTCAACAGCAACAAAGAGAGGAATGTGGCAAATGAAATCCAATAACTGCATACCGACACAATGGCACACACACACACACACACACAAACAGATGCATACATTCAAGCACAATAATACACACACAAGCACACACGTTTCAACCCACATGAGAGTCAGTGTAAGTAGGCCCTGCTCCAGCCTGCCTCCCCTGTGGAGACAAAAAAAGGATGGACAGATCCCATCATGTGTGTATCTTTTGTGTGCGAGTGTGTGTGCTGTATGCCATCCTCACATCTCCTGGGTTTTCTGCTACCACCATATTCATCTGCGGCCCTCATAAGGATAATTACATGCACATAAACGCACGCACACAACACATGCACAGCTCATCTCTGAAAAAGCACTGCGTTCCCGGCTCCTCTAATGCGTTGGTCAAGGTCAAAAGCAAAATCCTGCCTAGGAGGCTCGCCTAAAGCCATAGATGCAGAGTGTAGGTGTGCAGACAGTGTGCACGGCCTGTGTGCACCATGGTTTCAATCTGCGTGCTCATCGTTGCTGTGTATATTGGTTGTGCAGCCTTGCCCAGGATTTCTGTCAGGTCCATCATTAACAACTTTTCAACACAAACTAGGTGCATGTAAAACATCCCCTTTAGAAATTGCACAACAAACATGCTGCACCATCTTTTTTTAACTATATAATCATACACAGCTAATTAAATTTTCCTAAATTATAAAATCCATTTTTAAGTCTTTGGACTCTGAATCAGGATCTGAATTATTTTAAACTTATCGCTCCCTTTGTCCGGTGTTGATTTTGGCTCCCCCTGCAGAGAAAGATGTGCCTGATGTGTCTCTACGAATTTTCTCCTGCATATTTTTAAAATGTATTTTAACACAGAACCTAATTTTATCTTATTTTTACATTCTTTGTAAATCTTTGCCATTAAACATAAGGAAAAATAAAATAAAAGGCTGTTTTAGTGGTATGCAGTTTCACATCGACTGTACTTTGCACATGCAGTTTAAGACATCAGAAATAAGCAATCCTGAGGCTGATGGTCTCGTTGGCTCCAGCAGGTCATAAAGAAGCATCAATATTAATGCAAGTCTGTTTTATATGCAGTTAAAAGCTTCTCACAGTAGTTAAGCATCAAGCCATAGTGGCTTGTACACAATGAAAACTGGCACAGCCCCTCTGAAAAAAAGTTGTGGTTTATAGTTGTCTTGACACCAAAGTTTTAATTTCAATATAATACAAGTTAAAAAGTCCAACATTTCACATCTGTTTCAATAGCATAGAAACAAAAATGAACTCCTGAGCACCAAAATCTGCACAGTTTTTCCAAAATAATGTTAAACCAGGTGTGTGTGAACACATTCTCCCACTGCCTGTCAACAGTCTGCGGGTTAAGGTCTTAAGACCATGTGGTATCACAGTCAGAAGAAAACCTAAAACATGCCTCTATTGGACACTGGAAGACTTTCTGTATCTGCCCATCCAGCAGTAGTAGGCCACTTTGATGGTGCATAGGCATTGCATACAAATGCTGCTGTAAACCAACCTAATCCAATGGGTGTGCAGTTGTGTGGACATGTACAGGAGTTTTTAAAATTTTAAGTACTGTAAAAACATGAAGGAGTAACTTTTGATTTTTCAGATTTTCAGCTCAAGTAGTAACTTCTAGTCTTAAAGAAATGAAGCCAATGCAGAAATGCGAAAGAAACTGTAGTTCCTCCAGTACCTGCATGAGTCTGGCCAAAAATCACCTCAATTCTTCTGCCTCTAAACATAAGGATAATGGATGTTGTATCATTTTAAAGCATGCAGTTAAGAAGGTTGTCATTGCGTAAACAGTTTTTGACAAAGTTAGTGTGGATTAACTTTAAATAATCTGAGAATGTAGCAGGATACTTTTGACACAAATGCTGAATCAAAAATAGATCTCCCAGCGTTTTAAATCTGTAAACTGTGATTTCCACTCCCTGGAGAAGACGCTGGAGTGCACTCACCAGCTACCAAAAATAACCACCACTTTAGAGTTCTGTACTAGGAGGGCAATAAAGACCTTTGAAATTTACAGTAATTGACTATAAAGCCTGCAGCTGAGGAAACAGCTGCAGGGGAAGAGAGAGAAAACTGTCACCAAAACTGCCGAACAAGTCATCTGCTCATTGAGAATCAGTGCATTTAATACATTCTGCTCTTTATATTCATAATTACTTTTGTGTTTGTGATGTTTTCCTTAACACAAGAGCACCTTTGTGCTCTTCAAATTGTTTTAAACAGTTGTTAAAAACACAGAACTGACCAAAAGCAGACAACATTTAATATCATCTGTAAGGCTGCATGATTTACTAATCCTGCTGACTCTGCTTATGCTGTAGAGCCCATTACACACACACACACACACACACACACACAAAGGTCAAAGTAAAGCCCAGCCCATTTCAACCCTCAGAGCTCAACACATATGCTCAGATTCATATTTCTGACCTCTGACCTTTATAACTCCAGGGTCAGCAGTTCAGGGAGTCTGTTCTTCTGTGTGTGTGAGATGTGTCAGCTGTCACATGTGTGAAGTGAGTGTTATCACAGCAGCACGTCTTCAACAGGAAAATCAGAGTCAGTCAGGTTTCAGGCCCGTCACTCCTCCTCCTTCTGTCCACAGCAGAGTCCTGCGCTGTAGACTTGGCACATTCAAACGTCATGTTAAGATACAGTTTGATGTTGGACAGAACATCAGGGGAAAAAAAGTAGAGTGATATCCCTCACATGTTTATTAAGACAAAATCTGCAGACCACTGACAAGTGCTTTGACTCATCAAACTACCTCCTCAAAGACATATCCTTCTGTCTGTTATTCTGATAAAAAGCCTACAGCCTCAGAGGAAGAAGCTCAACTGTCTGCTTTAATAGAAGAACAACTTGTTTGTGAACTTCTTTATGAAGCATAATCTGACCTGAAATCTGACTGATCTCAGTTAGGCTGTTTGTCTTTGAGTTAAAACTACCCCTTGTTGGCATCTGTTAGAGCAAAACAAGATATTTAAAGCTTACTCTTCAGCTCTGGAGAGCAGCAAGATGAAAAGAGTGACCATTATTTGTTGGCAGGAGAGGGGTTGAGAGTGCGTTTAGCTGATCATACGATAAAAAGCAATAATGTTGTCACCCTTGCTTATTACCTCCGCCAAGAAGGTTATGTTTTCGGTAGCGTTGGTTTGTTTGTTTGTCTTTTAGCAACTTTAAGGAGAAAGTAACAGACGGATTGACCTGAAATTTTCACCAGAGGTGTGTCTCAGCCCCAGGAGGATCCCATCACATTTTGGTGGTGATCCGGACAAAATTCTGGATACTGTGATCCAGAACACACAAAAATAAGGTGTTGATGGAATTTTCAATGCTGAAAGATAACCAATGAGCGGTACAGTGGTGTAGTGGTTAGCACCATTGCCTCACAACCAGAAGGTCCTGGGTTCCAATCCGGGTCAGGGTATTTCTTGTTTAGGGGGGACATGAGCTGCTTGGCGGAGGTCTGCGCTCTCCAAGTGCTTTTCTAGTACAGACATGGGACCAAGACATACATGTCCAAGTCTCAAGTAAGTGTCAAGGCTTAACCTTCAAGGGCTCTATTTTCGTGTACGCCGGTGAGGCGGCGGAGGGTGGCGGGCCCTGCGCAGTTGTATTTTCGTCTGGCGAAAATAATTATCAACAACTAAAAATCTGAGTCAGCACATACATTTAGATCTATATATATATATTCTGGTCTATATCTGATCTGATGAGCACGTTTGGCACGCGTTTGGACACTTAACCTGACCGAAATCAACACAGCTGAAACCGCATCAAATTAAATTAAATATCTAGTAAATAGACACACATGATGAAGTTAACAAGATATGTAGTTCGTCTCTCTCCTTTTCTTTCTTCCTCTTCCTCTTATTTCTTGTGCAGCTCGACCTGGACATGTCTCCGTGTCCTCTCCCCGTCCTGCTGCAGCTGCTGCTGCGGCTGCTGAACCGATGATTTGTTTCAGTGATCAGATGAGTTATTTACTTTAAGCCGACATACGAATATTATAATATTCAGTTTTGTGGGCCAAATTTATTTTATATGCCAACATCTATGAAAGAAAGAGCCAGGCCACGGAGCGCGATGCGTCATTTATGCACAGATGGTTCTGATTTTAATGCCATTTTTGGAGTTTATGTTGTGATCTGTGCGCTCAACCCACCTTTGTCACGTGAGGTTTGAATATGTGCAACTTTATGTGAGTGTCTTTATTTGTGGAAAAGGGTGTTTGTCTTACCAGTGGGTCCAACATTACACACACCAAATCCATCTGTGCTCATGAGAGCGTGTGCAGGACGCCCAATGCAGCGTTTAGAGTGACACTTGTTGAGGAGCTGCCTTCTGTTGCCATCGTGTGGCATTACTGTCTTCAGACATCTCTTGATCTCTTTTACTACTTCACGAAATAGTAATACGCCTCGCCAGTGGCGGATTTAAAGGCGAGGAGAGGAGCTTATGTGATCGATTAAAACAGGTTTCGGCTGTATTAAACCCACTCCACGCCCTCTCTCCTCCCTCCCTACGACTTACGCCGCTGGGAGGAGCTGAGATAGGGAGAGGGGAAACTTACACCGGGCTGCTTTTAAACATAGTGGTCTTGATGGATGTTAACATTTTTATCCTCAAAAAAGGTAAAACCACTTTGAAAAATGTTTAAGATTGAATTTTTCACACTCCACAAATCTAAAACCAAGTCTTGTTCTTCAGGTATTATGCTTGGGGAATCAGAAATGTTAATATAGCAACAACATGTGTGCAATTGGGGAAAACAAAATAACAACAGTTTTCCTCTTGGTGGTTTTGATGAAACTTTTTTAGATGGAGTATAACGATGCTGATGGAGGATAAAAATCTAAAGTTTCTGAAATGTGTCTCTTTGTGTGTTTAAAGGGAGCAGGTCAACACATGAGAAGCCACAGTAACAAGACTAACAGACTAAAGTTGAAGATCAGTATCACTCTTTAGATCTATTACAGGAACTAACAAGAGATCCTCCAGGGTAACCCTAGATCATGCAAACACACAAAACATGCCTGGAAGCCTTAAACCAAACATGCAATAAGAGATCCTCACTCACAGACAGAAACAAACATGCATGTTGCTCGTGTGACCAGACTTGGAAAACTTCGAAAAATTTGAGAGCAGAAGGAGAAGAGGGAGAGAGGAGAGGAGAGAAAGTCAGCGGACCGTGACACTTCAGACATATGGGAGGACCGAAGAGAGACGAGAGGATGAATAGAGAGCTGGTAAGAGAAATGGAGAGACGCAGAAACAGGGGGAGAGGGAGATGCATCCAGCTGTTTGTCCATCCAAGCTTTGCTGTAATGAGCCCATGTTTGGCTCTATGGAGCATCGCCGACGCCTCATCTAACTTCTCCAAACTCTAACAAGCCGAGCGGCTATTTAGATTTACCTCCTACCGGTGCTGAACCGGACCCGAACAACTAAGCGCATAACAGCGTGGTGCTCCCTTAAATGGACACTCTGACATTTTGAATGTTGGCTGTTTATTTTTCTTTAACAGACACTTATCAGCATGTGGGAAACATTTTTGCTTTTAAGTTTCCATAAAATGGCTCTGCAACATTGTTAGCGTCGCTGAGCATATCTTCTACTTGCGGCCTGCTGTGCCCTTTGGCTAAAGTGAGAGACGGCCTATAAGTCATTGTGTGGTTTACCTGGTAAAGGACCACGTTCACCTCAATGTTTACAGCCAGAAAACCACCGACCAATAATCTCAAGCTTTGATGTAGAGTTTCAGCAATATTTGAAATCACCTAAAACATGATCTGAAAGGATATAATGTATTGTGTGACAGCTCTGATCATCAAACTTGTTCCAAACTCAAACTGCACTGAAAGTCAGATCTCATTAGGAGAAAACTGGTGCACCAAATAAAGCATTGGATCTGTTGAAACTACTGTGAATCAGAGCAAAGCTGGATTAAGAGCAAATTCTTCTGAAAATGTTTTTAAAATTAATCTGCTTCAATCTAAACCACAACTTTTTTTTCAGTCCTAAAACACACCATAAAACTTACTATTTATATATCTGTTATTAAAGCCCATCTCCCCATTTTTAAAAATACAGTCTTTGAAGAAAAAACAAGTAAAGACTACTCAAACCAAAGTATTTTTTTCATCAGAATCAATCTGTACAGATGTAGTGTCACAAAATCTCCTAGACCAATAATTATTGTAAGCCACAGTGTTTGTGTGCTAAGTTGAGGTAGTGAAGTTGCAGATACCCAGTTAGCGGCCTGGTACAAGTTTATATCAAGACTGAGAGTTATCCATAACTCAAGGCGTAATTAGGAATGATTTGATGGACAGATGTGAGTGTTGTTGTAGGTGTTTGGCAGATGAAAGTAACAACAAATGGACTTCTCTAGTCTCCTGACCACCCAGAGGGCTTTTATACAAGGAAGACAAGAGCAGACAATTCACAACAGTCCCAACAATCTTCATACACCAAGCGACACAAACTAATTGCCCAAACAATAAAAATACAAGAAAGGTTAAGCACAAAACAACTGCAAGGACAGAAACAGGGTTGAAAAAAAAGCATGGTGTAAAAAGTCGAGTCAACTGCATTCACAGCAAATGCAATATAATCCAATAAATGCTGCAAATCCAGACATGACAATGCAACTGCTCCAGGATTGAAGGAGATCTTTAGCTAAACATCTTTCTTACTGACGCCACTTTATATGAGCATGCTTTCTTGCACTGAGTAGAATCAGGTACCTCGACTACAAAAAATGATTGGGGAATTTTCTGTCTTGAGTACTCCTGTATAAGCTTGAATCCTCACTGTATCTTACGAACATTAATTCGTAATTCATCCTCTACCACACATGCTTGTTCCGCGATAATTGCACTTTAACTTCAAATGTTTTATCCGATTACTCTATTAATTGATGGAATATTTGGTGGAATACTCGATTGCTAAAATATTCGATAGCTGCAGCCCTACACATTAACTTATCATTTATGTCACTCTCTTTAAAACAGTGGTGTAATTGATCATTTTCACCCAGGACTGACAGTCTACCACAAAGACAGCACTGGTTGATGTTACAAAGACCCCCTTATCTCTCAGAGGACATGTTCCCTTACTTGTCCTGTTCGACAGAAGTGTGGCATTTGACACATCTGACCGTTGAACCCTGTTGCAGAGACTGGAACATTCTATTAGCGTCAATGTAACTGCACTGAGCTTGTTTGTATCCTGTTTGTTAGATCATTGTTGTTTTTAACATGTTTACCTTGAATCATCCATGGCCACAAAAAATGAGTCACCCAAGGCCAAGGTGAGGCATCTGAATTTTCATTCACCTTGTGTTTCCTCAGTGTAATGTTATCACAAACACTCCATAAACCTCCATAATTACAAAGAAAGCAGCTGCCGAATAAACCAATCTACAGAATAAACTTCACTCATTTTCCAGCCTCACTGTCCATAATGCTGGAGGTACATTCATTTAGGATATGTCCTCTATCTTAATTCAGAAATATCACATATCACATAATATCCTATAAAGATGCAGAAAAGCTGGTCCTTCCAGTAAATTTTCATTTATTGGACTGCACTACCAAGCCACAGTAAAGTCAAATTCATTTATACAGCACATTTAAAAACAGTCTAAGGCTGACCAAAGTGCTGTACAACTCATACCAGACACAATATAAAAATCAAACCAGTTGTATAGACAAAAAGACAGGACAAACACAAAAAACACGGAACAGAAACTGATCAGAAATAAGCTGCCTATTTCAAAACAAGAGGACTAAAGGGCTTCTCTATAATAGCAAGACTCTGCAGTTAGCTAGAAATGCTCCAAATGTAACAAGAATCATATTTCTCTCCATAAGTTTCTTTGATTATGGACCTTATAAAAGTTAGACCCAAACTTAAAACCCTTCTTGCTCTCAAAGCTTTTACCAGTCTGACACGAGAGTGATATTTTCTAAAACTGTAAGCTGTATATTTCCAATTTAAGACTATAGCAAAAACTTTGTAAAAGCTTCAATGACAAAGTTACACAGAGAGGACATTGTGAGAAAAAGCACCCTTGCTAATGAAAACAGTAGGTGCTAGGTTTCAAACCCCACTTTCTTCTTCCAGTGTGTGCGTGCGTGCGTGCGTGCGTGCCTGCGTGCGTGCGTGCGTGCGTGTGTGTGTGTGTGAGATCTGGCTTCAGTCTCAGTTCTCACTCACAGGTCAGAGAATATTGATGTGTTTTTGAGTCTTTATCATCTCATGAAGATGCATATGTTCCAAATATATCTGTTGCAGACAGTCACGGAGCAGAAAGTGACACCTGATCCCTGTTTATTTTCTGTTAGTCTGAACCTGTGAGCTGTTGAGTGGGAGCTTCACACCACTGCACAATAATCAACATTGTAGGATGTCCAGAATACAGAAATTTGAAAACACTAGAGAGTAAAATTTCTCATAAACTTCCTCTCAAATTATTAATGATAAGTCAGAAACTATTTGTCCTGGGATGCAAGGAGTGTATTGATGACCGTGCACAATCTTTTACCACTGTTGTGCAGCGCTTCAGTGAGGGGTTAATTATCAGAGCCTGTGTTACATCAGATTGCTGCTCGTATCACAGCCTCATCTAGGTTATTTTGACCCAAAGTCAGTCTGCTTACTGAGCTGTGTGGCTGCTAAGTGAGAGAGGATAAAGAGTCAGGACCTCAAATGCATGTGTGATCCTCTTAACCATCAATCAGCGCCACATTCAACAACAGGCAGGCAAAAAACCACACAACCTAGGACTCATCAGGATCATGCTCATTCACTATGTGAATTTGTTACATCAGAATACATGTTTCATATATTTTTCGTTGAAATACTCTGAAAGAGTTAAAGCTGTTCCATTTTATTCTCTTTAATAACTCAGTTTTTCTTCGTTTTTATTTTTTTTCTATTAAGTCTTTTCTAAGGAGTGCTTTAAATGGGTCGTACCTGTCTGAATCAATGCTGGGTCTAACCTAATATTAACAAACTATTAGCATCACTGTATGCTATTAGCCAAGTCGTCTTAGTATAACACCTCCTTGAAAATGAGTGTAATCTCTCAGTGATTCTCTCTCTCTCGAAGTTTGACTTCCAGCTGATCAAGTCCAAGCTCTTTTACTCTCAGCTTCTCCTGCATCTCCCCTTGAAAGTCAAGTTCTTCTCTCATTACTTTTACACTCTCCTGGAGTATAGCTTCAGTCTCTCTTCTCGGGTTCAACTGTCTCCTGTGCAGTGAAACAGGATGTACTGTACATACAAGCCCCACTATTAGCCTGCCGTCACTACCACTGTTGAATTTACCAATAAGCTGTCAGAGATCCCCTCGTTTGGTACAGTCTGCAGCAGAATAGAGTCTAACGCTACTTTAAAGTGGGTAACCATGGTTTATAGCAAGCTCAATGACTCTTGTATTAGTGTTTGTTACCATTCTCCTCTACTCTGCTAGTCTGTTGTTGAATGGTGTAACATCATTTTAACTTTAAACAATTCATGAAACTAAACCTCTCAGAAGACATAAACCTTTGAGCATGAATAAGCATGAAAACCACTAACTGTAATGGTAGAAATCATGTCAGAAAAACAAATTATTGTTTGCTTCAATCACCAAAGTAAAGCAGTACAGTTAATACTTCTAAAACAGTCTGAAAAAGCACAGAGACAGAACATTATTATAGCACAGTAAAGTACTCACTACACCATGCTGGTCGAATGGTCACTTTAGATGAAATAGGCACTTAATTCACGGAGTACACTAAAGCCGACACAGCCCTTTCTGCTAACCACTGCCAACTTAGAGAAAACATGCACTTAATTATGGTTATGACATATGCTACAACGACATCCCATACATTTCAACGTCTGGTTCTTTATAAAAGTGACCAGATGATTTCATGTGCATGTGTTACCAAGGATTTTTCCTGACAGGCGAGGGCTCAGATTGGTAACACTCCAGACAAGTCTTACATACTCACAAACAAAAGGAAAGATGTGTATCCTGGAAGGATGTTGGTGTTGTTTTTTTCTCTGCCACACACCCACAAATGAAAACTTGGCCAACTAGGACTGTTTCAACAACTATAAAGAACCGTCCCTAATACTAATTATTTTTGGCTCTGATCTTTGAATAAAGACAACGCGCTTAGAGACAAAAATCTGTTGTTCCTTCTCCAGCACCCCTCTCTGTCCCTCTTACCTGCTGTATCCAACTTTAATACATCATCAACTATGTGCATGTGTCTACCTGCACGTATGCAGGCCTGTCTTTTCTCCGTTTACTTGAATGTGTAATGTTTGTGTTGCTTGGCAGCGGAACAGACCAAACATCAGAGCGGAACTGGTTATCTCTTTAATGTAATGGCAGTGAACAATAGAGTAGATCCAATTACATTAATGGCAGTGTGGCATTATCACTCAGTCAAATTGGACTACTTGAGTCACCAGCATTCATTCAAGTGAAGGCTTTGCTCTGTGACACACATAGATGTTAAAGGGAAAGAGGTTTTTAAGGTCTTAAGTCAGCAGTTGAGTCAAGTTCTTTATCAGCTCAGTGAGTGGTGAGGGGCAGAACCGGGCTCAGCACTTAGTGACCGTAAACACACAGCAATGTGCAGGCTTTTGGTTTAAGTGTCAACCCAGTGACGCATATTATGCCCTCATATTAACTCCAAAATAAAGTGGTTATGGCGATGTAAAGCTTCCCTTAATCTGATCATCCGTCCTATTTTAGGAAGTGCTAACAAGTGGCCAACGTGGTCTGACTAGAGGCAATTAAAAAGCTCAGTGAAGTGAGAAGCAGGGCAGATGGTCGGGCAAAATGTGGCGCAGTCCAGCTTGATGCACAACTGGTTAGACAGGTTTTCTTTGCTAAGGTCTGGAGCACATGCGCCTTCCACTGATATTTCTGCAGTGATAAAATGGCTCAATTTATTACAGTGGTTAAACTTTGCTTTCCCTTTCACTATTCACGGTAAAAATGAACAACCTCTATAGCACCCCAAAGTAAAGTTGTGATGTCAGATGGCAACAGGAAGTGAAAAATCTCCCTGGGTTTTCAAGCGTAACTCATACATGTGAAATAATGAGCAGGTTTATGCCAAAAATGATGTCAAAAAATCTGGAATTTATTAGCTATTTAGAAACTTAAGTCATCAATTGGCAAAAGAGGTCTGAACAAGACAACACTGGATATTTTTCTGCTGGAAAAACAATCTCTGGAGGACACAATTGTTGAACAAAACCTCTATGGCCACTTCTTCAGCAGGCCTCAGGGTGATGACACAAATAGCAATACATGATGGGTCTGACAGTTCTGCCAAGAATAACAACAGCATCGATTCTGTTCAAGTCTTTGTATCCTGTGCAACAGTCTCCAGGTTAAAAACGGCAGCTTACTTTTCATTCACCAAGCACTTTTATTCCAGACACCTAATGAGTTATTTGGACTTGAACACCAGGTGAATCTAAAACAGCAGGGGAAGAAGAAAAACAGCAACACTCCGGGACCCTGAGGACTGGATTTTGAGGATTACTGCAGTAGGCTGTCACAGACGTTGATTCTGTGGCATGAAATGTTTCTCAAGCTGAAGGAAAACGTCAGTGGTGTTACAAAATTCCTACCTATCAACCTTGCGGTGCTTGAGGCCTTTATCTGAGGTTTGTAACTTCTTGGACCAGGGTTTGGCTTCAAGAGGAGGAAGATTTCATTACCTCCATAAAGTTGAATGAATGATGATGGAAATAGTCAAAGCAGGATAATCAACACTAATGCAACAAAGGCTGAGATAGCATGACTCTTTGGCCCTTAGGATGGATCAAGATCCAAAACTAACATTTCCTTTTCCTTTAGATTTTTTATTTCAGTGTGGGAATTTTTTAATTCTTATGCTGTGCAATCACTAAAATTATTGAGTCATTAATATCTACTGCAGCTTACATTTTTGTTTCTTAGTATGATGCAAGGCAAGTCCAACAGAGACATGACCCATCTTGAAAGCTCTGTAGTCATGGCAAAATTTGGTTAATAGAAAGGACAAGACTGACCACTGTCAGTTTGTATTTAATTATATCAACCGAAACTGATGTGAGACTTCTTTAGAGACAATATATAATTGTGTAAGCCAGTTCACAGTATGGAGATGACAAAAACAGGCAAGAAGGATGTGAACACTTGCCAAAACAGCCTCTTATCTAGGGCGCCAGTGGTCAGCGTTGTCACCTCATGGTAAGGGGGATGCCATCAAGTTGGGATTTGGAAAAAAATTACACAACAGGATACAAGGGGTCTGATTCTGGTTCTTAACAATAAACATAATGTGCTGTTTACTGCTGTGTTTCTGGGGTGCTCATTTGTACACAGACACAATAATGAACTTAAAACTATACAGGGTCATTGTGTCTATGATATGGTCTTAGGGCCTCTGTGTTACAAGTTTGACTCCGGCAGGTGCATTTTTTAAATTTATTTATTTATCTATAGAGTACTTATTTTTAGCTTTAGTAAAAAAAATAAAAATAAAAAACTGTCCCAAATTTGAACAAACAGGTAAGCTGAGTAAGCAGAAGACTTCAGGGTGGTTCCTGAAGTTACACTTGCTCTCAGTATAAATATTTAACAGGTTTGTTTAGCCTGATTGAAGAGCAGATATACTGAGATTAATAAGTTATGGTAATTATTCAGAGATGACAAATGTTAGCACGTCTCCACAGTGTTGGCAGTTTGTAAACACATTGTCTTCATCATCATCGTCATCATCATCATCACTATCTTCATTCCTATGACCATCACCACCACGTCCGCGCTGTGGCTTTGAGGCCTCTGCTGTTACCATGTCTCACTCTGAGTCCTATTACCGACATAGCGAGTGACAACCCACAATAACACTAGCTGGGAACACAAACGCCTTCTTACCGGGGGAGTAGAGCCTTGCCAGCTGTCGGGCCCCGGCATGCTGCGGTCCCCAGCGAGGCGCAGCGCTGCGTGCAGCCGCCCCGTGCTCATTTCCATTCGGATCCTCCTCCGCCATGGACCGGTGCCTGATGTCGGTCTCGGAGAGAAGCGACGCCGCCATAACTCCTGCCCGCTGCCCCCTGGCTTTGGCTTTCAGCTAAAAGACATCAATTATTGATTGGCTTCGGTCAATATCTGCTGGTTTGGTTTGTGTCCCGGCCTCAGGTGGCTGTTGATGCGGCTGGATGGAGGAAGGAGGCAGGACCAAGTGATGCTAGCTGAGATGTACCGGAGCAGCCTCGCACCACCCGGAAATACACGGACGGAGCTGCGCTGACACACAGACCTATTTCAGAGCTGCAGCAGCTTCTGTCGTGAACGGGAACAGCTGGTAGTTTTCAGACTGCTGCATCTGTGTTTACAGTCAAACCTGCTCGTGGCACGACTTTTAATACACTGATTTACATTCATTAAATTCAGTAATTAACCAATTGAATCCTTTTGGAACTTAGTGGTATTAACTGGTGCCTTCAAGTGTTGCTTGTGAGTGACTCTTGTGCTATGATGTTGGAAATAAAAATGCAGAAAGTATGTCAGAAGTTTGGCTATGTTCAGACGCTTTTATTTGAATTCATGAAACTTTTTGAACAGATCTAAAACTATTTTTTGACCCCAAGGATGTTTGCTTGAATTGGCCTTGCAGAATATTTGTAGATAAATGTGCAGGACTATTTTCTGCGAGAAGTGTCTGGTTTTATTCAGGAAAAAGAGGAAGAGTTTTATTGCTCCAATAATAAAGAGGCCTTTAGGCAGAGAGGTTCTGGTAGCCCAGGTTGTACACTGTAAAAACAACAACCTTCAACTTAACAAGTCTGTAAATGTATGAGTAAGTCATAAAATCCACAGAAAAAAATAGAAATGCATCACTTTTCTTTGGTTTTCTTATTACTGCTACCTGAACCTACTGTATCATGAGAAACTAGACTACATACCAGCCGGTGGTTTTAGTGCAGTTCAACACATTTGGTGCTCCATTATCCTATATCCTCCTTTTCCAGAGCTTTATCGTGAAGTAAACTGTGAAATGGTTGGAATAACATGTAATACTAAGCTTCAGTGGGATAAAGTTATATGTTTTATTCATGATAGATGAGTGTCTGTTGTGTGGGCTTTTTCACACATACAATTTATAAGAAGCTGAGGAGCACGACAAGGTATTGACATTGGACAGAAGCTGTGTAACTAAACATCCTAGAGCTAGCTTTGTCATCCTGAGAATGTTAGCTCAGTAATTTCATTAGGGTTAAAGCATCCTTGTCTCAAGGAGCAGCAGGGTTTGTAACAAAATAATGACAGTTGCCCCCCTCTAAGAGGTAATCATGAGCTTTGTAGCCCTGTACAGATTGTAGTCTCAGGTTCTTTGTAACTGATTCTGTGGGATTGTGTTCATCTTCTCGCTCATTATCAATCTGTCATCCAATGTTTGTGAAGGCATTTCTTGCAGTTTTGTAATTGGACAGTAGATGGCTAAAAAATTGTCTCAGTGTCTTGTTTATGTCTGGCAGTGCAAGATTTCATCCTTTTGTGAGCGTAAAACTGAAACATTGTTCAGCTAAGAAAAGAGAGTTTTTTGCTGCATCTTTAGGCCTTTGAAAACCAGAAGCCATCATTTCACTGCAATTCATCTCAACTTTTCTTCATAACACTGTGATTTAAAGGTTTTTTTTTTATTTTTTTCAATAGGGTTATAAATTTGACATCACTATGCAACTTTTCTTTGAATTTTCATTAAATATATTTTACCATTGATTCCAATATCCAATATCCTCCTTATTCCAATATCCTCCTCTGTACTCTGATGACCCTCACATCTGTACCCTTCAAATGAATCCCTCTGTTTACACTGCTCTAATTATATTGTTCCTGTATTTTATAGTCAATGCCCTGCTGCTATCTAGACCAAAATACACGTATTAAATAGTCTTAATTGGAGCACTTAATGCCGACATTATACAGCATTATACATTTTAAGGTCTTACTCATACTTTGATTTGCAGCTTGAGGGATGAATAAACAATTACTTCCTTCATGAAGGTACTTTTGGACACACAAGCTTAAATGCGTCGAGTTTATCCTCTTTGTCTATGTTAAATCTTAGAGATGATTGATGCAAAGCGATAGTAAATCCATTAGTCCCTTTGCAATTACGTCTACAGATATGATGATACCAGACCAGATGACTAAACAGACCTGGTTCTGTTCTGCAGTACAGATGAAGGATTTTCTCTTCCAACAACTGGAAGAGTATTACCAGTTACAGGTTCATACAGCAGATGTGATTCTTTGGAAACACAGATCACAGTGTAAATCTGACTTTTGAGGGTTTAACAACTGTAAGGCTCAGAGGTAGAAAAGGACCTACATGTTGCTGTGATACCATTAAAAAAATTTTTTTTTTCTTTTTTAAGTGACTCAAGCTTAGTGACTCTCCAAATAAAGTGGTACCACCTGGTTATTTGCTAATTTTGTTCATTAAATCTTTAGATGTTTTTTTTTGTTTGTTTGTTTTTTGCTTCATAAAAGTCAATTGATCCCTTATATGGATCCTTGCCATGAAAACATTATGCTGATGGGCTTGTGCACTTTTGTGTCATTCAAAGAGACACAAATGTTCAATTCTGTTTGCTTCACAGCCGCCTGAAAACTCCTCACTAGAGCTTTAAGCTGGGGGAAATTAGAGGTATAACTCCAAAGTTTTGCATCTTTCCTGTCCTCTGACATCCTCGATTGGAAAAGGGCATCAGTAAAGGCTATGCAGAACAAAGCAGCAATCACAGACAACAGGGAGACACTGACAAACCTCAACATGAAGAGGAGGAACTGAGAGGAGGTGAGTTTCAAAGCAGCTGACCGAGGCAGCAGTGAGGGCAGAGCAGTTTAAATGAGTCGTATTGGATGAGATCTGCAAGCAGAGGGGACTCAACTGGGCCATCAGCTGATGTGGGCTGACTTAACGTCTGTTTCTGTGAGCTGATGACTTTGAACATGAGACCTGAGCATGACTGTGGCCTGCCTGAACTAACACTAGGCTCAGGAATGATAAAGGTCAGTAATGGTCCTGTTCACTGGAGCAGTACTGCAGATAACCAACACGAAGGATAAAAGAGGGTTTTTAAACACCACATCAGCATTAATACGGAGGAGAATCTAACATCAGAATCTGTGAGTGATTGAGGACTTTTATTGCTAAAATTGTCCCATTGTTTAAATTGTGATGGTCTCAGGAAATGAGAATATTAGCCATAAAAAGGAAACTTTTTCTCTCCCCTTTTCTCTTTCAACCCTCTTTGGGATTAATAAGACAAGAATTTCAGTATTTTTTAAATCTCTTTCTGTGAAGTTATAACTTTGTGCATTGACATCGTGATGTAAAAACTGATTTACAGCACCGTTCTTGGCTTTGAATTACCCTTATTGTAGTTTCCATGCAGATCAAAAGCGGATGACACTTGTCTATGTATGCATGTAGCTTACAAATTCATTTCTTGAGAATAAAAGCACATCACACAGAGCTTCTTTGTCATTTGTTTATTTGTTTTATCTTTTTTGTCTGTACTAGATTATTGCAATCTGGTTAATTCACATTTAAAAAGCAGTCATTGACCAGACGCACTGAAATCGATGATATTCATTTTTACAATAACCGTTACAGGCCCCATAGACTGGAAAACCCAATCCAAAAAAAGAAACATCTGTATGGTTTTCTGCACTTTATTTTGTTTGATGTCTTTTTTCATAATATTACAAAAGGAAAAAAATATATAACAATAATCATAAAAAGGAGAGTCGAGGGATAAGAAACTCAGGAATATTACGACTGGCAAAACAAACAATCACAACACAGCACAAGTACCTACTTACGGCGAGAAAGAAAAGGTACAAAAATGAAAATGAAAATAAGCGCATATGACAAAGAAAAGTCAAAGAAATTGGCACCTATGAAGTAAATACAGCAACTGAGGGGACGAGAAGGTGAAGCATTTTCTACTATCTATTAAAAAATCCTAAAACAAAGGGTGTTTTCTTGCTTTTTTTTCTTTTCTATTTGTTAAAAAAAATAAAATGCCTGACTTGAGGAGCAATGGGTGAGCGGAGAGGACGGGAGAGGAGGAAGAAGCTGGTGTAAGGGGGGTTTGGCAGGGACAATAAAAAATACTGCACGTACAATACCTTTTTTCACATTTCTCTTTCCTTCATCTAGCTCTTACCGTTTCTCTTACCCACTTTCTCCTTTCTTTATTTAATAGCATATCCCATTAATATTCCTTTCCCCTGCTGCTCCTAATAGCCGCGCCCAGTGGCGCGATCGTTAGAGTTTTACATGTGAGTAGCAAATGACACTTTGATTGGCTGTGATGTGGAGATGGGAGTCCCCTGCCGGCTCCGGGTCGGGGGCCCCGGCTGAGCCGAGAGATCCTGCCGGGCCTCGGTCTCACTGCGCGTGCTGACTCAGTGTGTGGTTCTGCAGGGAGAGAGGGAGAGGCAGAGATAGAGAGAAAAAGTGAGAACACATGATGAGAGAAATAATGGGCTACGTGAGCATAGTGCTTTCCACTTGCACCCCCATCCAATAAAAGAACAGAAGAGAACAGAAACACAACTGCCTCCCACAGTACAGACAGCAAGGCCTCCTCGCTTTATACATAGTCTGATGAAAGACCAGGAAGAACAAGAGAAGAGGAGAGAGAATAGAAAGGATGAAAAGGCGACAAAACAGGACAAGCAGACAAGAAATCTCAACACAAAATAGTCGGTACAGTACTGAGTTATTGTTGTCTCACAAGAGAGACTTTGAAAGGAGTTTCTTAACAATGTGACATTTACACTCCATTTAAACACACATGAACGGTGTACATCAACAATCATTCATGTCAGTTATTCTTACACATGATGGCACATGCATACAAACAGCACCTGGTTCTGGACAGAAACTTACAGATCATATTTGTTCTGCTTGTGTTTTATTTTTTATCTTTGGGAGCCCGGCGCCTCAATTTGTTTATTTAGATGTGTGAAACCCTCGTGTCTTTTGATATTGTGATTAATATTTTACAGAGACCGTCTCCATACCTCGGAGACGCCTACACTCACATCTCTCTGAAGGCATCAGCGCACTTCACATCAATACATAATCACAATGCAAAAAAACACCTTTTTTCCAAATTAAAATTCACATCAGCAGTGAGAGCACAAAGGGAGACGCCGCAGCGATCTCTAGGTAAAAGCGAAAGTGGAGGAATCGAGACTGAGTGATGGTTTTGCATGCGTCAGTGATAGAGGTACACACTACAGCAGGAAAGTACACTCTTTTATGAGCGATAATACAAACACATGCAAGATAACAGGTCTGTACAGGCTGAGGAGTGAAAATGTCGAAAAGAAGGAAACAAACATTTTTCAGCCCTTGATAGACACACACACACACACACACACACACACACACACACACACACACACACACACACACACACACACACACACACACACACACACACACACACACACAATAAGTCCTCTGTGGATGTTCATATCAGCTGCAATGGGGGACTAAACTCTTGATAATCTGGATTTGCTGTTTTGGAACTTAGCTAGCATCATATCTAACGCTTAGGGAAACTGTCTGTGGATGTGTGTGTGGGAGATTGAGAGATGATTGGAAAGATTTCTCTGGGAATTTACATGTGTGTGTGTGTGTGTGTGTGTGTGTGTGTGTTTCCACTTGGATGTTTTTCTCCTCCTCTCTCTTGATTCTCCCCAGACCGTTCGGCTTTCTCCCTGTGAAACAACCCCCTTCTTTCTCTCTCTCTCTCTCACACACACACACAAATAAATTCCCTATGAAATCTTTCCCCATCATCCCAGCTTCTTCACACATACACACTTTCACTTAGAGACACACACAACACACATTCACACTATTCCCAGTGAGATCTTCCCAATCAACCCCCCTCACCACCACCCAACCACTCCCCCTGCAACTCAACCCTTCATCACCACTAAAAGCAGCTTTTTCAGATTAATCGCTGTCTCTCTCGCTGATAGGCCCCTCTACGGAAAGAGGGAAAAAAGGGACAAAAAAGAACAGCGAATGGGAGAATAAAAAAAAGAGGAGGGGATAGGGGGATGAGGAGAACAGAGAGACGAGGAGGGGTGGATGGGGACAGAAATGTGAAGGATTATACGTGGTTTGGGGTTGATAAATACTTATTTGCCATTCTATGGCCCTTATCTTGCTGTGCATGTTTCGTTGAGCCTTTTAGTGTGTGAGTGTGTGTCAGTGTGTATGTGTGTTTGAGAGCAAGTGAGAGTGTGTGTGTATTCTGTGTTTTAGAGTGTCTGGCACCCGGCTTTAGAGGCCAAGCTAGCCTGTCCGGGGGAAAGCAAAGGGTATTAATGTCCTCTACACACACACACACACACACACACAAACACACACTCAGCTGAAGGGTTTGGGAGAATGGGGAGACTAAATGAGGAAAATAACGACCAGGACAGTGAAAAATAAGTGCCTGTGTCTGTCTGTGTGTGTGTGTTTGTGTGGAGGCCTCTCTGGTGAGGAAGCAGATCTCATTGGGAGCCACTGACCCCATTATGAATGAAAACCCTCAGCTTTCTCTGTCTTTCTCTCTCCTTCTCTCTCCTTCTGTCTGCCTCCTCTCACTCTATCGCCTGCTCTCAGCCTCAGCCTCTCCGCTTCATTGGCTGCATTACCCCTCACGGCCAGCAGAGGTCAGGCTCATTCCTCTCTATGTGACCAGGTTAAATACAAGCGAGGAGGAGAGAAGAGGAATGATGGGAGGAGAGGAGAGAAAAGGAGAGGAGAGGAGACAGAGTAAGGGGGAGGAGAGAAAAGGAGGCAGAGGGAGAAAAGGAGAGGGGTGATAAAACGATCTGGATCCTGTTTCCTGGGACTGAACATCCATGTCTGGCTTTCGTCATCACGCACTTGACTCGTGTATGACCTCTAACAATGAGGCCAGATATGGACCATTAGAATCGGGAACAGAGGGAATAAAAGAAACAAACTGACTGTAAAAGAAGGACTGCAACTTTAATGCAAATAAACCCTTTTGAATTGAAAAGAAGGAAACAGGAAGACGGGAGGGAGGAACTGTAAAGAAGGAGGAGAGGGAGCGTGTGTGTTTTCCCTCAGGTTCTTTGGGTCCTGCTGCTGCCGTATTGATTCGTAGACGGAGCGAGGGATGGAAAGGAAGGACAGGGGAAGAGGAGGGAGGGATGGAAGGAGGGAGGCTGCGGTCACTCCCCGGAGGAGCCCGGAGCGCTGCAGTGGACTGCTGGAAATAGCCCAGAGGAGAAGAGCGGGGAGAAGGGGGGGTGGGGGGTTGGAGTAACAGACAGATGGATGACAACCCGCAATGCAATACACTTTATATGGCGGACGCACAGACACCTCCCAGTTCCTTCTCTTCATAGTCCTGTTTGGTATTGATTATGTAGAGCTGCAATCGATCAGAAGTGTGTGTAAGTG